CCCCAAAAGATGATTAGGCTACTGTGTAAAATGTAAGAGGAGTTCAGGGAACCAGGGGCTTTTTGTATAAAAAACGTCATTTTTCGACCCCCATTTGACCCCCAGGGTGAAAATAAAAATTCCAAAACCTTACTGCACATCTACATGACACCACCAACCATATCCCAAAAGATGATTAGGCTACTGTGTAAAATGTAAGAGGAGTTCTGGGAACCAGGGGCTTTTTGCATAAAAAACGTCATTTTTCGACCCCCATTTGACCCCCAGGGTGAAAATGAAAATTCCGAAACCTTACTGCACATCTAGAGGACACCACCAACCATCTCCCAAAATATGATTAGGCTACTGGGTAAAATGTAAGAGGAGTTCAGGGAACCAGGGGCTTTTTGCATAAAAAACGTCATTTTTCGACCCCCATTTGACCCCCAAGGTGAAAATGAAAATTCTGAAACTTTACTGCACATCTACATGACACCACCAAACATCTCCCAAAAGATGATTAGGCTACTGTGTAAAATGTAAGAGGAGTTTGAGAAATAAGAGTGTGACAGACGGACGGACGGACGGACGGACAGACGGACGGACGGACGGACAGACATGAGTAACAACAATATACCCGAACTTTCTTTAGAAAGTGCGGGTATAATAAGGTGACCTGTTGTCACCGTATTGATGTAGATGAATTTACTTTTGTGCCTTTAATGCCTGAAGAGTTCTTATAATAATTTTATTAAAACGCAAAATGACGAACTATTCGCGGGTGACCCGAGGTCCTAGTTGAGCATACGTTTTATCCTCTTGCAAATTTTAACCTTTGTCACCTAGCGAAAATCAAAGGACTGAAAGTACTAAACATGCAAAGAGGTGATAGATTTGTGTTACTCTGGTTACATGTTTTACTGCGTTTGATACTTTGCAATGGCATGTGCATTTTGTATACCGATCTGCAGAGGGAAAAATTAATTCATAAGCAACATCATTATATTTGGAGAGTGGAATATTTTTCCTAGTAGTAATAACGATGATTATTTATGGTTTTGAAGTATTTTTTTAAAATCACGAATACCTTTAGAGTATAATTAAATTGAGTTTACAGGATGAATCTCTTCCATTCAGTTGACTGAATGGTGACTGAAAGTTTGCTGAAAAGTGACTGAATGGCAGATCTCTGCCATTCAGTCACCTTTTCAGACCTTTCAGTCACCATTCAAAGTTTCATCCTGTGCATGGTCCCACAAATATTTGGCTTATTTCGTGTTCTCCCGAATCATAAATTGTACATTTACATATCCTCGCCATTATGCGTCATGATGTTGGTATAGAGCTATCAATTAATGCTACTTTAACTTTGGCAAGGAAGATGCATGCAAGTATCGACCATAGAATTGCTTAAAATGTATTTGAAGAACTTATACTTGGTTTTTTCATATTTTTTTTTTTAAATTGCATTGGAATTCTTATTACCCTCATTTTTTTTTTAACAAGGGTGTATGTTCATACAATGTTTCCATGGACGCTAAATCATGTACAAACATCAAAATTGTAATTGAAAAAAAAACAAGGTTCTCGTCTTCTATATCGAAGTCACATTTTTCCAGTTACTTTCACTTCAGTATCACATCTCCTCAAGAAAGTCTGTACTTCTCCTTTGAATCACCCTTTATCCTCGTCTGCTTTCTATATTGTAAAAAAAAGAGCACAAGGTCACATTTGTTACGTAATTATTATATAAATGTATGCCAATAATCATCCTGTTTCTTGCCTTTGTTGAACCGTCACGGTAGCTCAGTCGGTAGAGGGCTCGCTCCGTGATCGGAGGGCCGTGTATTCGAATCGATAAAAAATAGGTAGCAACTGTTCATTCGCCAAGGTCTCGGCACTTTGAAGTGAAAGTTTTGGGTTCTTCGGATGAGACCTTAAAAACCGAGGCCCCGTGTCACGGTAGGCGTTGGCACGATGAAGAACTCTCACTGCTCAATGTCCCTGAGTGCCGAGTAAAGGTCTAAATTTGAAGCCCTTCACCGGTATATGGTGACGTCTCTATGTGAGTGAAAAAATCTCAAACGAGACGTAAGACAACATACAATCAATCTCAGAAGTACGGCCAACCAATATAATTGTACTTGGAGACCATTCTGGTTTTATGAAAAAGCAGATTCTCCAGTTGTCTTGATACCACGAAAAATCTGTGCAAAAGTTTCCTGAAAAAATTATTTTTATAGTCAACTTCTCTATCTGCCATAGCTAAGAAGAATTGCTCAACGTATTATCGTATCAGGAATATTTCCCAAAACATATAATAATAGAAATAATCCGGAATACCACACAGACATTATTGAAGCTGCAGTTCAAGACTTAAAAAAAATGGTCTCCAGTACATTTGTTTGATCAGATTTCATCAACAGTGGAACAAAAACAAAGTGAATTGCTAGAAGATGTACAGTTGGACTCTGATATAGAAGGTTTTTTTTTACCATCTTCCCGAAGATTTGCTAAAGTTAACTACAGTAAAAAAAAATGATACTTTGATTTACAATGTAGCTTTTTCTCTAGAACTTCTTTTTAAAGATTTCAAAGCTGAAAATCTCTTAAATTGATAATTGACGAAAAGTTTTGAAATAATGTGTGAATATACAAGTAATAATTCCATTTAATGAAAAAATGTTCATGTATGAATTGAAGGGCATAAGATATAAAGATCTGAAATCCATAGTAAAATACTTTGATTTACTATCGCAAAAACCTTGCTTTTATACTATCGTAAAAACTTTGATACTATGTATAGTACACTATAGTTAGTTATTAATAGTAAACTGTCGTTAACTTCAGTGTTTTTATTCCCCCGCCATAAATGACCGTAGGCATGTAGTGTTACCCTGTTCCGTCATTCTGTCATTCCGTCATCATTGACTTTTCGTTCATTATCTCGGCAACAATTGCACACATTCAACTCATATGGATATGTCATAGGAATACGCAGCTCAAGTTTGAATTTGGTCATGGACCGATGATGTTTAACAGAGTTGTCCTTCTTGAACTTAGAAAAAATAAGAAATTTTCTGTTTTCGCTCTCTAACTTTTGTAGATATGTATGTATAAGGTTGAAATTGCATATGCAAGTATTTTACCAAAAAATACAGGTCAGGTTTGAATTTGGTCGTGGTCCGATGATTTTTGACAGAGTTATCCCTCTTGACCTTAGAAAAAATAAGAAATTTCGTATAGTTTCCGCTCTCTTACTTTTGTAGGGATGTATGTATAAGATTGGAATTGCATATGCAGGTATTTTACCGGAAAATACAGGTCAAGTTTGAATTTAGTCGTGGTTCGATAATTTTTGACAGAGTTAGATCCCCTTGAACTTAGAAAAAATAAACTTTGAACATTCCGTCATTCCGTTATCATTGACTTTTCGTTCATTATCTCGGCAACAGCTGCACACATTCAACTCAATTTGGCATATGGATATGTCATAGGAATACGAGTGTCTTAAAAAGTAAAGGCGTTGATGTATAGAGCCACTTTAATAAGGTTAACATTGTATAGTTTTTATCTTAGTTATGCCCCTTGAACTTAAAATTTTTTTTAAATTTTTTTAAAATATGGCATTTGAAATTTTGGCTGCCTGCAGGGGCATTCTTGGCGTTACAACACATCTAGGGTTTTTTGTTTGTTTGTTTGTTTGTTTGTTGTTGTTTTTTTTTTTTTTTTTTTTTTTTTTTTTTTTTTTTTTTTTTTGGTTTTGTATTTTTTGTTACGGTGTTACTTTGATTTTGATTTTTTGGTCATTTAATTGGAAAATACGTTTGTTAAATTTGTTGAACTTAGTCATTTCTATGCTAATATGGTACATTGATTTTGTTGGGGTGTTTTCAGAACAGAGAGTTTACTCAAATTTACATGTTTTGTAAAGGATATAGTGAAAAATGGGGGTATTTCGCCGACAAGAGTAATAACTAATAACTAGAGTAATAAGTAACTCTCGCAAATGCGAAATTTGTCTATTCATGTGAGAGATACCAGTGCTGTTTTGTTGAAGAAAATCCGGTTTGCTGTCACATCGACAGCTTTCCATTTGTTCTTAGTTTCAAGGAAATATCTAAATACAAGATACAAACACTTAAATTATTATCCCAATACACGATACAAACACTTAGATTATTATCCAGAACAAGATACAAACACTTAGATTATTATCCCAATACAAGATACAAACACTTAGATTATCATCCACAAGATACAAACACTTAGATTATCATCCACAAGATACAAACACTTAGATTATCATCCACAAGATACAAACACTTAGATTATTATCCCAATACTTGATACAAACACTTACATTATTATCCCAATACAAGATACAAACACTTAGATTATTATCCCAATACAAGATACAAACACTTAGATTATTTACTGAGATTTTGTGATATTATGCACCGTCTGACTTTGAGAATGCAGATTTTATCATCTATTTAAATGAAATGTGTACAAAGGTTTATCATAGGGAGGATTCAACTCATACTTGTTAAAAGTAGTGTATAATGACTGAAGAAAGAAATTTTTGAAAAAGTACTATGATTATACTTCAAATTATTTCAATTGCTTAGTACTATGAATATTAAAGATCTTTTAATTTGTGCAAAATTTTGAATGCTGCCACATTATTAAGAAAAAAAGACAACATTGATGTATAACACTATTTTTATGCAAGTATTTTTACATTCACTCTATTTGTATCGGGTGTTTTTTATTTGCTTCTTACTCTCAGTCTGATGACCAAGTTGGCTTAACTCGAAAACTTGAGCTAAATTGCATTTACAATTCATGCTATCTTTATTAATTAGTGTACTTATTTTGTAAGATGTTACGATAATTTGCATCGATTTTATTTACAGAGAGGACTTAGCAAGTTGGGGGAGTCAATAACACATACATGTATCTTATATCAAACTGCTGGAGTTGCCGAGGGAGTAAAATTTTCTTCTGATCTTTTGTAGCAATTTGTGGCTAGATGGGGAACCAAACAATTACCTGGGTCTGAAAGAAGACTGTATGGAAACTGGAGAAAAGTATGGTTGGAGATGGAATGACGCGCCGTGTTCATGGCAGAACAGAAGTACACATATTGTTTGCGAGAAACCAAACCCTAAATTTGATACTGTCTTTGGATAAGCAAGTCCGTCATTTTTTACTGGATTAAAAAAAATCGTCTAGGTTGTCAATTGTTAATCAATGCTTTAGTAAGGACTTTGTTTTCTACATCGTATTAGTTAAATTTAGTTTCACAGGGTTGGTCGCATATTTGTGGGGGAAAAAATAGTTAAAGAAATATAACATAATTAAAATTGTACTTATTTAATTGTAATTGTTGTTACGGTATCAACAAATAAATTTTTCTTCTGATTTATGATGTGTAACATTTTTGGGGGTTTACAAAATTCAACAAAATCGAGATAAGAAATTGGCAAAGTTTTCATTCTTAAAACGTCTTTGACACAAAAGAATGCACAGGGTGAAACTCTGCTATTCAGTAAACTGAAAGTCTACTGAAATCTGACTGAATGAGAGATCGGCCATTCAGTGACCTTTCAGTTACCATTCAGTAGACTGAATGGTTTAGGTTCATCCTGTGATGCATAATAATTTATCTGTATTTTTCAGTTTTGTTTTGATTTTTAGCTCTTCTGGTCAGAGACCAGAAGAGCTTATGCGATAGTAAGGTGTCCGTCGTCTGTCTGTCTGTAAACAATTTTTCAAAATGCTACTCCTCCTACAGTTTTGGTTTGATTTCAGTATAACTTGGCATACTTGTAGACTACACTAAGATACACAATTCTTTTTATCGGTTTTTGATTTCAATGTATTGCCATGGTTACTAAAAATAGAAATGTCTGTGAAATACTTTCAAACCTGCAGTTTCGGTCTGATTTCAATATAACTTTGCAAATAAGTAGACTAAACTAAGATATATAACTCGGTGTATTGTTTTTTTTTAAATTTCAATGAACGGTGTTGCCATGGTTACCAAAATTAGAAATATCTGTGAAATACTTTCAAAATGCACTCCTCCTACAGTTTGGTCTAATTTTAATATAACGTGGCATGCAAGTAGACAACACTGAGGTACATAATTGTCTTTATCGTTTTTTGATGAATGATGTTGCCATGGTAACTAAAATCGAAATTTCTTCAAAATTCTTTTAAAAGGCTACTCCTCCTAAAGGCGTCTCCATATGAGTGAAAAATTCGCGAGAGGGACGTTAAACAACAAACAAGCAAACAAACTCCTCCTACAGTTTTATTCTGATTGCAATCTTGCCACATAAAGAGACTCAATGATGGATCATTATTCTATTTAATGCTGTTGCAAAGTTTCAAGTCCAAATGCTAATTTTCTCTTCCTTTGTTATAAGTACAAACCAGTAGAGCTACAGTCTCAACAGACTTTTTTAGGATGGGTGGGTGTTTTTGGGGGTTTTTTTTTTTGTTTGTTTGCCCGAAAATTGTGAAGACATCGATATGACTTTGATAAAAGTCTTTGCTCATTCGGTGTTTTCACAACAATCAAGTTATTAGTTTTTGACATGGTAAAATAAAAAAAAATGTGAGATGGCTACCTCCTTTAAAATAAAAGAGCACGTTAAACAAAATTGGATAAAACATTTCAGAAAATCCAATGTAATTACTTTTCCTTTTGTGGAGAAGTATAAGAAAGACCCCTATAATCTCGTAATTTGAATATTTATGAGGGATTTGAGATCATGGCGCATGACTGGTCAATATTTGGCTAATGAGATAAAATGGGGAATCAGCTGATGATAGCTACACAGGAGACAAACAAGTCGGAAACTAGATCTTAATAAACGAGACACAGTAATTTCGCACTCCATGATATTTCCTTGCCTTTTCATTTTATGTTTATGGTTCTTAAAAACGAAAATAATTACAATGAAGACAGATTCAAAACCACGTTTTAGTGAGATAAAGTGTTGGGAAAATTTAATTGTTTCATTGCTTAGAACGATAGTATCAATTTTAAAATTTTCAGTTGTTTGATTGGAATAGACTGTTTTACACCCATGAATATTCAAACTTTTTTTCTGTGAAGTATTATAAATTTTGATTATGTAGAAATTAGCGCTCCGCTTGTTCAATTAAATTAGTTTGTGTTAATTAAAGTCAAAGTCCAACACTTTTATGTTAACACCCACAAAAGTACATAATAGTCTGGTTCTGGTCCATTTTCGGTTTATTTTCACAAACCACGTGCACCATATTGGTACTTGAGGTAGAAAACACACACACACACACCCTCACACACACACACACACACACACACACCATATAAAGTTGCAATTTGTGCTAATGCTACATAAAATATCAAGAGGCCAAATGTCCTACTTTTTAATGGAAGAACTGATAGCAACGTAATTTTTTTTCTAGTTGATTTGAAGACCTTCAGTTAACAATTGTATGAGCTGAATTATTACAGAGAAAAGATTCCACATTTCAAAAGATATTATTATCTTTACGTTGTGATTAGAAATGCCAATTTCACTCGGATATCTTCGTCGAGGAACTGGGACTTTAGTCAAACGAAAGTTGAGTACTCCTTAAGATATTTTTTCTCATGTCAGTTTAACTTTATATCTTTTTAAAATGCTTGTACAATATTTAAATTAAACAAACGTGTCTTATTCCAGCTAAATTAATGACTCAAGATATAGCAGTAAAATGAAAGTTGTTACTGCAAATCCAAGGCTTTATTTCTAAGAACATTGTAGAATCGTAAGTTTATTATTGTTTGATTTGCAAGATATCTGTATTTACAGTATTTATCAAACCCGTAGCAACGGTTTCAAATGTTAAAAACCCAAAATTATCTGACAAGCAAAAAAAAAGCTTATTTACTGTCCAAAACCTAGAAATTGCCAGTGCTCGACCCTTTATAACATCAAAAAGGGGGGGGGAAGGGGGGGGGAACCAGCATCTAAAGGAAAATTTACTATAGCAAATACTATACTTAGAAAAAAAGTGGGGGGGGGAGGACAGACCCCCCCCAACTTTCTACGGGCGTGTTTATTTTCCTAGACTATGTAAGCATTTTGTCTTGCAGATCTACTTAAAACATTGAAGCAATATATTTCTGTTTCTAGTTGATCATGTTGATGAATTGTTTTCCCTAAAATCAAGACAGATGAACCGTTATAATTTCTTTCAAGAAATCAAATTTCTTTTCTATGTCCAAAATACCCTAATCTAACAGAGGGTTTAAGTTATCTGCATTTCGTTCTTTGGCGTAATAAGGCAATCAAAATGTATGTAATACATAAAATATGTCAGTTTAGATCGCGCCTGGTTAAAGAAGTATTGGCATCGGATAAAAAAAGGCTGCCTGTGTCAGTAACTAATTACAGCCTTATTCCAGTTCTTCTATTCCCCAAATCTCATGAATACACATTTTGCTTATTTATAATTCAACTTGTCGCGAGTCCGTATGAGTATACCATCATCCGGGCAACTACGAGGACAGCAGAACATTGACACAAATGGTTCGGTTACGACAGGCAGCAATGTTTCAAAGCGATCTTGAACTCTCTTTGTGTGTTTTTAATCATATAAGATCTATAGTGTTTAAAAATAATTAAGTCCCATTATCTGCAAATGTGTTAAAAAGAGAACAATGTCAAAACTTTCGTATTTCTTCATCTACGTGAAGAGGATGATGATGTCGCCTTCTTAGAAAAGGGAATAATTCTTATACGGAATTTTCCTGTTGCAATTCGAAATGGCTCCTGGCGGTACTGCACTTGTTGATGGAGTAGCGATTGTCGAGAAGACAAAACAGGCTGTTGAGAGGGAGAGATGGGAGAAGAAAATTGAATTCCTTTTAGCAGTTGTGGGATTTGCCGTCGATTTGGGAAATGTCTGGAGATTTCCTTATATCTGCTTTAAAAATGGTGGAGGTGGGTATTTATGTTACACGTATTATAATCAATTTCAAACATACAACATCTTTATTTAATTCATTATCGAAAAAGTTTTCTAAACTTTTTTTCCTTTGAATGTTAAAATTGAAGCTAGACTACATTCAAAATATTGTGGTCACTTAATCATATACATACTAGTCAGTGTTTCAAAATTGGAAATCGAAATCATATGATCAATATTCTCTGCTCTGTTTTTACTGAAAATATATCAAATGACTATAAAAAGTGAGGGGTGCACATCTGGTTTTATAAATCTAAGCAGATCTAAGATGTTTGATTACAATTAAAATTGTCGAATCTTTAGCAGACTAGGTGAAAATAACGAACAGTGATCGATTTAAAAAAACCTACAAACAATAGGAAAATTCAAGGGGCACCAACCATTGTCAGAGTCTGTGCCCCTTGCAGACTCTTTTTATAATGGGTGCCGTGACAGCAACTATGGAATCATTTATCTTTTCAATTTTCATAGAAGGATATATAACGAGCGACAAGTATCCTCGAGGACAAACTGTCCTCCAGCAGAGATACATGCTTGGCGAGGGAAAGGAAGTGCTTTTCTGACAGCAACAAGAAGCTGTAGGTGAATAGCAAAGGTTTCTATTATAAGCAATCCCCCACCTTTTTTTCTTTCTAAATCTTGGTACAGTTTCCTTCATTAAATGTTTTTCATATTATTTGAAGGTACCAGTTTTAAAATCATTCTCTTCAAAATCAACGTAATTTAATGTAAAATAATGCAGTCTAACGATATTGCTGATATTACACTAAGATTGAGGGGGACCTTAAAATAAAGTGTGAAAGAGAAGGATAGGTTAAGTATTTGTTTGTGTTTTTGTATGAAATAGAGGCTTTGTAAAACTAATTACGGAGATTTTTAAAATTGGGCTTTATTTTTAAATTCAAACATATCTATTAAAAACCAGTCACGGTAGCCTAGTGGTAGGGCGTGATCGGGAAGCCCAGGTCTTGTTTGCCGCGCCTCGTCAATCCTAAGATATTAACGTAAACAAAGGTAATGACTGTTCGTTCGCCACGCGCCCGGCATTAAACGCCTAGGCCAGGATCAGGGGGTCGTTACATAAAGGGTACTTAAGTCTAAGGTCATGCTTAAGTTAGACTTAAGTACAGTCTTAAACTTAAGACCGTAACTAGAAGCGTGCTAAGATTTGACAATCTTAGCAAAACTTATGCGGCCTGTAGAGGTGACAAGTATGTCTTAACTTTTTAAAACACATACAGTGTATTTAGAACTATATAAGGTTGACTTACTATGTTAAAACATTCCTCTATTAATATTATGCATTAAAAAATAATTTTCTCTATTTAATCTACTTGTATAAGAGTTTTAGTTTTTCGTCCGGGGGGGGGGGGGTATATATCACTTATTCCAATATCACTCTCTATCATCATCTCTCTGACATACATGTAAATGGAAAATATAAATTTTGGGATACGTTTGCAATATTAGTGGGACCTAGGTTATAAACACTAATCATTATAAGTAAGTTGTTTACAGTAATCATGAATTTGTTTGTTCACCGTGAAAAAAATGAGATGAAATGATTTTAAAAATTGTAGGTGAAGTAAAGGATGATGAGTAGAAAATTAATAAAGATTTTCTGTAAATTCGATTGAATGTAGAACGCAACAAGGGAGGAATCAGACAGGGGTTCACTACCGTTAACACGAGAGAGAGAGAGAGAGAGAGAGAGAGAGAGAGAGAGAGAGAGAGAGAGTTGTTGATAAATTGGAGATAAACGAAAAATTGTTTTCTGAAAACAATTTTTTTCCACCCTTCATTAAGTTGTAATTAAGTATATCATAAAACGTCTGCAGTCTCTGCTTGCTGATATGGGAGGAAAAAATTCAAAGTGCCCCTTTGTTTTTTTAAACTTTTTTATTAAGAGTTTCAATTTCAAGTACGTAGACCTTCGGTTATCGTGCCATGTCTACGAGAATGACAATTTGAAAGCAAGTGAACATTTGTCAAACGGAAGAATAACAACAAACAGTAAACTGAAAACATCGCAGTCTCGAGTGATAAACAATATTCATGCATTTACAATGAACCATTAGTGCCACTTTTTGACCGTGCAATATTTGTTTTCAAATGTTCAGAATTATTTAAACAGAATTAACTTTAATTAAATACGAAATCTAATCTAACCTAGCTAAAACCGGTAGGTAAGGACGTCAACTTTAATATACATGTGATTAAAAACGTAACTAAATCATTTTTATACAAATACATATATAAATAAATTGAAAAAACTAGGATGATTAATAAAACATATTTTGAACATAAGTTTGACTTAGCTAAGACCTAGCTAAGTCCGTTTTATGTTACGTTTTAAGACATACTTAAGTAGTACTTAAGCAGGTCTTAAGATTGCACCTAAAACATACTTATGACCCTACTTAAGTCAAAAACTTAGCAAGCTTTATGTTACGACCCCCAGGTGCCCAGGTTGGTTACAGAATAACGATTAAATAATGTCAAGTGAAATATTCTATCGCCCATGTAACGATACATCCTTTTGGCAGATTGTCTGAAATTTCTGTCCATTTCTGTCAAGCGGTTAAAAAGTTCTCACTCTTACAAAAGAAGCTTTCCAAGTGGGATTCAGACTATACATATCCAGGCATAACATATAATTATATTTATCATATTCAACTGAATAAAAAAGTATAATTCAGAAACAAACTCATAAAAAAATATTGTCTGAACCAAAAAAATCACATAACTCATTTCCAATAAAAAGAAACAAAGGGGTATGGGTTTTGCTAATCTGTGTGAATTTTTCTACTCTTAATATTTGGACATTTGAATTAACAATACATTAAAGAACTTTCATTTTTTCCAAAGATACTGTATATGGGGATGAAAAATTCAAATTTATTTGGTAATGCTCAGAGAAAAACTGTGTCAGATATATTTTGATTGTCTATTTTGAAATCTGGGGCTGAGGACTATACATATAGTAATTTTCATTTATTGAGAGACCATAGAAAAATAGTTGCTTGTATCAGTGAATATTTGCTAAAATTATCAACTTGGAGTTCAGATGTGTTTAATAAATCCTTTCATTTGGATATTAAATCAATTTCTACAAAAATCCTATGAAAATTAACAAAATGAGATAAAAACTTCATGTAAATTCACACTACGAGTAAAATATAAATTGATAGAACAAAATAATACCTGTCAGAATTACATGTAATTGGTGTTTTGATAATAAAATATAGTTTAAGACTATCTGAAGACCAAGAATAATCTTTAACTTACCATCTAAGAAGGACGAATTTCTTTTTTATTATTTGGTTTTCTAAAAACGGTGAAAGTCATATATAACGTATTTTTTGATAAGTTCGAGTAAACAAAATTAAAAAGATCTTTCTATTTTGTTTTATTACTTTATCTAAAGATAGGATTTTCCTGTAAATTACACAATTCAAATCAATCACGTTTCAAAGAGATTAAAAATTTAAAACAATAACCCATTTATTTACCGACTCTACATTTAAATAACGAACAAATCTGAAGTTAATTTAACTATAGAGACGTGGGGTTATTCAAGCTAAAAATCGGTGAAAATTTTAATTTGAACGTAAATACATGTAACATATATCATGTATATTTACACTCAATCTCGTATTATTATTTTTCAAGCTCAGATACGCCATATATAGCTTTAACGCCAATTAGTTTGAGTATATATTAATACCATACTTAAAATAATACCATACTTAAAATCAGTTGTCTAATGTACTGGGTAAATGCCAACGAAATTCCAGATCAACTTATTATATATATTATATAAAGAGATTATTTCGTAATTTTCATTGGCAGAATGAACGTCACGTGATATTCGTCTTTTTGTGATATTGACGCAAAAGAGCGTCCGCGGAATACGATATTGCACGATTCACCGTTCATATGCACCAAAGTTACGTAAACGTGACATCAAAATATAAAAAGCATGTTTTTTAACCATTGTGAGGTAATGACAGCCAAGTCTGTTTGGTTAGGATTTTGTCAGATTATTCACTTTGAGTGATTATATAATTATGGACTTCAGTGAAGGTTAATATGTGGTTTAATGACCCATGTCATGTGATGTTGACCTCAGACACAGAAAATGATAGCAAGCTTGTAAGCATTTTCTGTGTCTTCGGTCAATATCATTTGAAATGGGTCCTTATAACTACATGTACATGTCGACCTATTCTGAAGTCAATAACTGTAAAGCATTATTGGTGATTAAACTATAATGAACAGGAGCAATTAATCAAGGCGTGATTATAATTTTTTTTTGGGGGGGGGGGGGTACCGACAATACGCAAGTTTCGAGATTATCTCCCTTGGTGCGCTCTTTCGTTACGGAGGGGAGTTTTGTTTCCGCGTAAGCAGGGAGGTGGGACAGTTATTTATATTGAATACATTACATCATCGGGGGATATAGTTATTATCGAATTAAGGTAAAGGCGCCAATTTTTTTCTACGAAAAAAAACGGAACAAAAGAAAATAAAAATTCGAACAAAAGAAAATATCAGTGGATAAAACATCAAACGAGGGAATAAATCTATAGGGATCTCTAATAAATCAACACGCACCTGATCATCTTAAGTCGGCATTCTGAATGACTCCTTTCTTTACAATAACTTCAAAGAGCCCAATAACTTTTTAGAAAAGGTTTGTACAGTCAAAGAAATATTTTTTTTTATGAAGACGATGACGGTTCCTTCGTTTTCAAGTATCCTAATGACAGTGAATTTTGTAAATATGTATAGAATAGCTTTACAAAGTCATCAAAATGATCACTCCTTAGCATTATCATCTTTTTATAACATCAGATGAATTTCAAAAGCCATAGCCATCGTTCTTTTATTTATGCAAGTTTGTATATATTAACAACCTGTCCCACTTCCATGATGATATAGATACTTTTTGCACCTCTATCGTAGGAGAGTTACAATCTCGAAACTCGCATATTATACTGCTTCATATTTTTCTCGATTTGGTTTTTATGTATTGCATATTTACATTTGCTTTGTTTTTCTACTGAGCAAACTGTGAAATTGAAATTGATTTGAATGTCATTTTCGTGTATACTCACGCGTAGAAATATGCACGGAGAAACTCGCGCTAAAGTGACGTCACAATGAGGTACAGAGACGTCAATAAAAATGTAAGGATATAGGGCAGCGAATAATTCAAATATCGAGTATATTTTTGGTGCTTTTGAACATGTAAAATGTAAACATAAAGAATGTTTTTAAGTTTAGTGTGAATTATTGGTGTGTAAATCACACAGACTTGCACGTAGGCATATTTTTCATGAAGCGCTAGCATGTAGCTCAAGATGGTCATTCAAAAGGTGTATATAATTTATCATCATGATAAAAAATTTAAAAAATGATTCTGAAATATCATCACCATTTGAAGTAAAAAAAAACAACATTAACAGAACAATTATTTATCCATACAGAATCAATGCTTTTTGTTTTTAAATGAACCTGAGTGATTTCTCTTAAAATAAAGTTTATTGATTTTGGAATATTATATTCAGAATAATTTTCATTAACCATTTTTTAAAATGTAAAAAAAATCAAGTGCAACAGCATAAAGTTTCAAAATTATGAATATTTGACTTTATTCTGTTGGGTTTTTTTAAATTCAAAAATACGCATACTACATTGATATGATATTATATACCAATGGAAAGCTCTCATTCTGATCTTTACCATGCAACAAAAGACATTTAGATTAGAAGTATCTAAATAGAGTTTCGTCTATATAACATCATCCAGTTGGGAATGGGCACCTGATCTTGGCCATGCCGAAAGTGAAAGTCACAGGTTTTTCGACTGAGATCTTAAAAACCCAGGTCCCATGTCATGGTAGGGGCAGGTTAAAGAATTGTCCCTGCTCAGTGGCCCAGTGTGCCTAGTTTAAGTCTAAATTTGAAGCCCTTCACAGGTATATTGTGACGTCTTTATATGAGTGATAATTCTCGAATGCGGCATAAACGGCATATAATCAATCAGTATCTATTGGAAAATTGTAACAAATGGTTTTTGGTACATAATGTCGAGATTAAGACATATGGGTGACTAATGTTATACATGTAGTTCATTTATTTTTTAAAGTCATTATTTATCTTAATGAATACCAAAGTGAATTTTGCAAAGACCATTGTATTTACAGTGATATGAAACATATTGTCTCATCGATCTTATTTGTATGACAATGACCCTACAATGTTTAAGAGAAAAAACCTTCTTATTTTTGCGTTCAGGTGCCTTCCTCATTCCTTATCTAGTCATGCTGATCTTCTGTGGGTTGCCCCTGTTTTATATGGAACTGGCTTTAGGCCAATTTCAAAGATGTGGTTGCCTAACTGTATGGAATCGAATATGCCCCGCATTTAAAGGTATGTATTCATCGTTCCCGTATGACGATGGTAACAAAATATTACCAGTACGTAAAATCAATTATTTTTAATCAAACAACATTATTATGAGTAGAATAAACATGCATATGATAGAAAGTCAAACTTTTAGTTTGTTATCACATATAAAAACAGAATGAAAATTATCAATCTTTTGTTTGAAGAACTGATATTCTTTGAAATACTAACGAGTGTGACTTTTTTCAATTGTACATGATAATGACGCAGTAAGACTCCAGATCATTACTAAAACATACATTATTTATGGTTATGATGAGCAAGAGTGCTTCTTCCAAAATTGTGAAATTCATCCCCCCCCCCCCTGGCTCAGGGGATTTGGAGTTAGGGCAGGGCTCTATACATCATATAGTGAGAATGCATTAATTTTTTTTTTGAAATCTTCAATGATTTTGAGTATTTATCACATGGTTTTGACAATGATAAGTAAGAGCGATTCTTCTTTTAATATTGTTATTGTCATGGCTCCAAGGAGTTAGGATGGGGTTCATTAGTCATATAACTTTGAAATCTTCTTGCCCCTGGTTATTAAGTAGACAGGCTAAGTGCATGGTTATAATGAGCAAGGGTGATCTTCCAAAAATAAAATTCATGGCAGGGAGTTCGGGCAGGGCTCTATGGATCATATAGTGAAAATGCATTATTTTTTTTTGAAAATCTTTGCCTTTGAGTATTTAACTGCCAGACTAAATGCATAGTTATAATGAGTAAGAGTGCTTCTTCTATTATTATGTTCCCCAAACGAAGTTTGGGAACATATTGTTTTTACTCTGTTTCTTACTATTATTATGTCGGCCCGAACGAAGTCGGGCGACATATTGCTATTGTACGCCTAAAAACGTTCTCCGGGGACTTTCTCGCAGATGGCTGGGGCATTGTTGCTGGAACTATCCATTAAAGATGATGACCAGCTGTATATATGTGGAAAAATTTTCAGTTTCAACATGGCTACCGTTGCCATGGAAACGTGCGAAAAGTGACGAATTTTGTCCGGGAGTGTTCTCTCTGGTCCCTTGATCATTCATCATGAAACTTTATAGAAATGATGATCAGTAATTGTAGTTGTGCGATTCGCATTTAAAATTTTCAAGTTGTCAATTGTTGCCACGGAAACAGAGGAAAAGTGAAAATTCCTTAACTTCGATTTTCTCAGTAACTGCTCAAGCAATCATTTTGAAACTTTAATGGATGATTCCTTGCATTGTGTCAAAGTGATTTCTATTTTTTTTTTTTTTAAAAAAAAACTGGAATTGGCCGCACACAGTTACCATAGAAACAAAACAGAGAAAAGTATTATGCTCATATATGTTCTCAAAGGTGACTTGGACAATCTTGATGAAACTTTACAGAAATTATAATTAGAAACTCTAGGTGTGCAGTCCACATTCAATCTTTTCTAAATTCCTACCGTTGCCATGGAAACGGACGAAAAGTAAAAATTCTTTAATTTCTATTTTTCTAAGTAAGTACGCAAAACAATCTTTTGGAAACTTTAAAGGTTTATTCCTTCCACTAGTTCAAATTGTTTTCCGCAAAAAAATTGGAGCAGGCCCATCGCTTCAGCCACCGGAACGAAGTCGTATTTTGGTTCACCTTAGTTTTGTACTCGAGCGTTCTCGTAGATGGCTATCAAAATCTTCATGAAACTTTAAAGAAATAAAAATCACCAACCCTAGTTGTGCATGGGATATTTTATTTTTTCAAAATTTGTCGCTGATGCCAGGTAAGGAACAAGTCGGGGTCACGTGACCATTGTTTGCTATCAGACGTTTCTTTAAATCAAAGTACTGAAAGGACTGATACGAGTTTGATGGTTGTCCAAGCTTAGCTAATGGGTATTACTTTAGTGATGAAAAAATGAAATGTCTATTTAGAAACAGAAATTTAAATTTCCATTTGATTTCTGATGTCAATTTCATGACATGATGCAATGCATTTCAAAATCCAATTAACAGATAATACTTTATGAAATTATATGAAAACGATATTTCTTTCTTTTTACAGTATAATTATACAAGTTATACATTTATTGAGCATTGCTACCTTATTTTATAAAATGAAATGAACTTGCACAATTATCATAAAAAAATATTAAAACCACAATTTTTGACATTCCTTATAGTGTATGCAGCAAGTATGTTTTTGATAAGTGTCGTTTTTCTCTGATAATTTTTTTTTTCTTGATGAATGCTTTATTTTCACATGCAGTTTTCAAATAAACTCCTGTTCATTATTAAATGTAAAGTCAAAAAAGTTATTGTACATTTTTACCCCCCCCCCCCCTTACATACACACACACGCACGCGCCTCACCCAGAATAACAACAACATCAAATATTTCTCTTAACCCAAAATCAACCTCTGATCGACTGTAAATCTACTAAAGACCCAAAATAAATTTTCATGAAAATGTGCTTGCCTTTGACTCAATTAGTTAATCGCCAAATTTCTGTACTGATGAACAGAGATGTAAAAGTTACTTTTTGTAAATCAAGTTTCCCTAATATACGAGTTTATATTCCGCTGCCGTGATGTTTTTTTCTGTTGCGTGTGTATAAATCATCTTATTTACGGTTACTGAATCTTAATATAAACCACTTGTTTTAGTTAAATTATTTCCGGTATCAGTAGTGACTAAAAACTAGCGATATTATTCCTTCAATACAATTTAATTCTCCCGGATAATAGTGTTAGTTACATGTATAAACATCTGTGTTCTGATGTATTTCATGTTCATCAATCAGAAATAAAACAAAAAAGAAGTTTTTGAGGAAATCAAAATTATTATTAATAGAACAGAATAATGCACTTCTAGATAAGTAATGGATATATGCCTCATACTGTTCTATATGTAAAATTATCAGACTGTTTGAGGCCCGTTAGGGCCGAAAACAGTCTGATAATTTTACATATAGAATTGTATGAGGCATATCTCTTACTTAAAACATTGCTATTTAAATGTCCAAAAGTTACCTGGAGGAGTCCGATAATTACACAATAGGAGTTCAGGCATCAATAGTTTTCTACCTGAAACCATCTAATAAGTAGACAAAAGAAAAGAGAAAGTTTTTTTTTTTTAAGACAGTAAAATCAGTGAGTGAACTCTTTTGTTTCATTCATTCAATGGCAGTCGTTTGGCTTAGCAAGAACTATGGACAGTGGTCAGGTGATGAGGGATTTTTTTTATGATTCGGAATATTTTTTTTTTTATTAAGTGCGTTTGACATTGATACAGATACAGTGTTGGATGATATCTTCGAAATGCATTTAAAGTAATAATGCGGATTTTTATCTAAATTTTGATTGGATGATATAATGAAAATCTTGGGTTTAAAAAGTGCGGTCATCATGGTCATTGGCTAACAAACCTCGTTAAATGAAGAGATTCGCAGACTGGTTCTTTATCAGAAATGGATTTAAATTGGCTTATTCCCAGTGATGTATCGAAAACGCTTTGCAAAAAAAAAAAAAAAAAAAAAAAAAAAAAAAAAAACTGAATGGAAAGTGTTACTTTTGAGGAAGTTTAAGACTCCAGTTTCTTCTTGGATTTGCTATTTTTAACAACTTAATTTCCTCGCGTTCGCTTACCCTGAACTTTTTCTCCCTAACTTTTTTTTGGTTTCTGGACAAATTAAACCTTGATTTCACTCTTGTTGTTGTTTTTTAACTACTGTCCGATTTTGTTATCACTGCCGTCCGATAATATATTATTGGACTGCTAATCATTATTATCGGACGACTACAGGTAAATTTTTAGACTGCAAGAACAAAGGCATGACGTCACAGCAATGTTTTAATTTCTAATAAAGCCAGTTCGGGGCGATATACGCTATTGCTTTCAATAACAGACTTTCTAGTTCTTTAAGGTCTTTCGTTTCCACCGGAAGTTATTTCTTCCGAACCGGAAGTAGTCGAAAAAATGCTCATTTTTCCTCGAAACTTTGAGGGATGATTCCTCCACACTCGGTGAAGAGTTAAAAGTCATTTTGACTACATCCGGTCATACCGGAAGTGAATAGAAAAGACCGGAAGTTGTTTGAAATTAATAGATTTCACTCTTTTATGAGTTGCTAAACAATTCTGAAGAATTGATATGAATATTTTTTACATTTAAAGTTGTTTTACTTTCTTCTATCAATCAAAATTTCCCAATCAAGAAATCTAACGGAAGACCTACTCGTTGCTCGCAACGAGATCTCATCTAGTTTTTCTTCTTATTTCTTCTCCGGTACTTTTTTGTCCGCGGGTGTTCTAGGAAACTGCTCATCCAATGGAGTTGAACCCTTTTTAGGGTTAATAGTTATGTTATGTAAATGTGTGGAACGAAGGTCATTTTGCGCGCACATGCATACACTTGCGCGCGCGCACAATGCGTAAAATGACCAATATATTTGATATAACCGTAACTTTTTAACTTTTTGATGAAATGCTTTGAGACTCATAATATAAGGATATATTAGTAGCGTGGACAAGATGACATGGTCAAAATAGCAAACTCACGCGCATGCACGTGCGCTTCGCTCTGATTGGCCGAAACTAAAGTCTCAAAGTTCTAAAGCATAATATATATGAATTATCAAGAACGCACGCGCATTCACGTAAGTTGCAATCTGATTGGCTTAAACTTTGAATGTCCATAACTTACTTGCTTCTCAATAAAACAGGATGAAATTTAGATAATAAATGGGTATAATGGATTCCTACATTTTGCTAATAACAAAATTGAATGCAAGCACATGCATGCGCGTGATCACAATGCGTAAAGTCACCAATATACTTGATATAGCCGTTACTTTTAAACTTTTTGATGAAATGCTTTGAAACTCACCATAAAGGATATAATAGTAGTGTAGACAAGACGACATGGTCAAAATAGCATGAACTTACGCACATGCACGTGTGCTTTGCTCTGATTGGCTGAAACTAAAGTCTCAATATTTTTCTTATTTTTTGACAAAATTCTTTGAAATTTTAAACATAGTCATACATTAGGAGGTTCTACAGCATGGTATATAAGAATTCTCATGAAAGTATGCGCATGCACGTGAGCTGCAATCTGATTGGCTTAAACTTTAAATGCCTATAACTTTCTTGGTTCTCAATAAAACAGGATGAAATTTAGAACATGAATAGGTATAATGGATTCCTACATTTTGCTAATATCAAAATTGAATGCAAGGACATGCATGCACATGCGCACAATGCGTTAAATGACCAATATACTAGATACAGTTGTATCTTTTATACTTTTTGATGAAATGCTTTGAAACTCAAAAACTAGAAACATTCTATTCAAAGTGTAGACAAGACGATATGGACATTATGCATATGCCTGCAAGTGCGTGCGCGTGCAATGCTGAAATGACCAATATATTTGATTTAGCCGTCATTTTTATACTTTTTTATAAAATGCTTTGATACAAAGAATATAAAAATATATCAATCTAGTAGACAAGATGATATGATCAACATGTATATGTATGCACGTGCACGCGCGTGCAAAGCGTAGTATAGAAGAGATGAAATGGTCAGCCTGCACATGCATGCACGTGCGCGTGTAAAACGATCAATATACTTAACTGCCTTATTTAATGAAGTTTATAGGAAATGACACCAAAAGGGAGTTGGGGAGCGTTTGGGGAACATCTGTAATAGTCCCCGTTACAATTATAACTAGTTATCATTATGATTATTGTGATAATCTAGAGTGTTTCTTCGAGAATTGTGAAATTCATGGCCCTTTGATCAGGGACTCTGGAGTTAAGGTGGTGTTATAATGATTCTTTGCTTTCGAGTATTTTTAGCAAAGAAACTTGATGCGTGGTATGATGAACTAGAGTGCTTCATCCAAAATTGTGAAATTTTCCCCTTGAGAAAGGGGTTCTGGAGTTAGGTTGGACACTATTATGATTAAGTATATGAATATTTACGCTGCTATAATGGAAGCTATTCCTCTTATTTATTCATTTATGATATTTTATCAAGTAATTAACCAATCTCCTGTGCAAAGTTGTCGTTCGTTCCTCTCTCAGTCACTTCTGCAATGGACTCGCGTCAAGATTTTTGACATAAGGTAAATAACATGACATTACACAAATATTTTCAAATACCAAACAGGTTTCAAGTTAAATATTTTGAAAATATCCGTAAAGTTTGCATTATTATTCATAAATTTCTTGAATTTAAAATTTCACGGTCAATTTTAATAACCTTCATAAATTTACCAGTATCATCAAGATCCCTAAGAGCCATCCACAGTTCTTCCATGACAGCATCACTGGCTGGTTTTCCAATCAGAGAGTTCTTTTCTTTCAAGAAAAGTCTTTTAAACAAGGAATTCCAAGAACTTTTCACTGGCGTAAGACTCTGTCGGGGCTGTTTTAAACGAGTCGTTTTCATCAGCAGCTTTCCCTTTCAAAATGTGATCCATTTCATCTGACATTTTTGGACGTTCAATAGCAATAGTTTGTAAAGCAAGATTTAAGGAAGACACGATTCTTTCTACCCAATTTCTGTATGACGGGTGAGGGGAAGTTCTCATATTGGGAATATTAGCATGGGTAACAGCTTTTTTGCTTCTGCAGATTGTTGCAATGGGAACACCTGGCTCACCTACAGGTATGTGATTTTTATCATTAACAGAAATGAAAACACAGAATTCTCTGTTAAGAATAGCGAAGTCTTTCAAATACTTCTGAAGTGCTGCTGCAAAATGAGCATCAAGATGAAATGCATTGAATTGCCTTGATTAAATTCTGTGTTTTAAAGGAAATAGCCATGTTTATTGTGAGCAGATGCAAGCGCTGGATTTTTCGGCATGAATTGTAGACGCAACCATTCTTTAGATGAAATTGGTGTACCCTGTGGTAAACGACCGACTATTTTATTTACGAAGGTCTGCAACAGACATTGCAACAGCTAGGTGACTTACAAGCCCATGTCAACGAACATCAACAGCTTTCAATTCATATTTGTTTATAAACTTTTCAACTTCACTAAAAAAATTTCATCAAATTTGGTGTCATTCTGCTCTTGATTCAGATTTCTCATATCAAACACTATATAAGTGTCCTGACTATCTATTGCTACCAGTTGTCAACTTTGCACTTCTTTTGACACTTTGAATTGAGGAACTGTAAGTAAGATATCTATACATTGCATTCAAAACTGCAGGAGTGACTTTGCTTACGAGAGCAAATTTTCCATGAAACTCTTTCCTCATTGCACGAGTATGGTAAACATCAATACCCTCCTCTATGATGTGAATAACTTTGCCTAGCTGTTGAATATCTAACACACTACCACATTTCCAAATAAAATGTGAAGACTCTGTTGGTCCGCCCCAACGACAAAGTCACATTGAAACTGAAGGCATACTGATGTCTTGAATATAGTGATACCGTTTTTGCCTGTCAGCAGGTGCAAAGTCATTAACACATACAGTATCAAACTTGAATTTCATTTGTAACTGCTGTTCAATATCTAAATACTGTTCTACAAAATTCTGACTTCTAATAGAATCGGGTATGTGTCTTAATGATGTAGATATTCCATCCCCTGGTGTTCTTACAGGATGAGCAAGTTATGGATTTCCATCATCCTCTTATTTTGGGCGTCTAAATATTCAGGGTATTTTGTGTTAGAGTTTGCTAAATTCAGAAGACCCTCTTTCAATTTTGTCATTCTCTTTGTAGTCATACATGGAGATATTAAGACTCTGTACAACTTTGGACCATGATCAAGCAATGTACTTCGAACTGAACAATCTTATTATTTTTTGTTTTGTTCTGTCATAGTAATCTTGGTTTAAACTCTCTTTGTTATATAGCACATCAAAGAGAGAATGAAGGCTAAGATGCCTTGTCTGAAATGATTTAAGATGAGGGAATATAATTATACATCTGTAAAACAGGCAGTCACAAACATCATCTGTAATTGTTCGGCCAATGATGTTTTCTTTCCCATTAAAAAAACCAATTAAACCTTCTGCTTTCAAGATTTTAGTGATAAAGTCATTCTTCAAGCGTCAGTCCCCTCTGGTTACCGAATCTTGTCCATTGACAGCGCCTGCAGATGTACTATTCTGTTTAAAACAGTACCGTGGGAGGTATTTTGCCAATAAGACAGCGCCTGTGGAAGGTATTATGCCGTTAAAACAGGACAACTGAGGTTCCGATAAAAAAGAAACCACGCCCATGATCATTTTTAATTCAAAAACAAATCTCAAAATATTTTTATTGAATGCGATGTTGTCATGAATTTGATTTTCAATAGTTGCAACCTTCTACCTAACGTCACCAGGAGTAAAGGTTAATCTAAAGGTATACAAATAAAAAAAAAAGATCTCAAAACAACCTATCCTCCATGATTAGTACTGTGTCCAGATTTTCGATCTTATTGGCATATACATAAGTATTTGAATTATTTGCAATACACAGGATGCAGAACCACAATGTCGGTTTGTTTAAATAATTGTATTTTCTAGGAATAGGGTTCGCCATCATTGTCATAGCAACCTACATTTCCTGGTACTACAATACGATCATTGCTTGGTGTGTGTACTATTTCTTCTCCTCTATGCGTGAAGACGTACCCTGGAAGACCTGTAACAATGAATGGAATTTACAGGACCAGTGTATGAGATATCCAACAGACGATAGACTTAATGACACCACCAATTTGTTCTGCTACCAGGGTGCAAATGCCACGTCGTGTATCTTCAAAAACCAAACTCAGACCCCGACAGAACAATATTTTGAGTATGAAAGATTAATATTCACAACTAACATCATAAATGAATAGAAATAAATAAAATTATATAGTTAAGTTATTAAAATAAATCGATCATTTAATTTGATTCTACAGAACTATGTTTGTTGATATGTGTTATTTTAACGAGTTGAATTTAAATATATAACTATATGAATAGTGCCTTAACGAATAAGCAATTTATAATGTACTATTATTTGAAAAATGTACATAGACAAGGTATCTAGATGGTGAATAGTGCAATAACGAATAACCAGTTTAAACAGTACTATTATTTGAAAATGTTCATAGACAAGGTATTCCGATTTCAGTTTGAAAAGTACTTATCATAGTGAAATCGGGATACCTTGTCTTGGTTATTCGTATCTCATTCCTTTACGATCTAGCACTGTTTTTGCCTATACATTTTCATTTCCGCAGAAGAGAAGTTTTAGGATTACAGAACGCTGATGGCATAAACTATGTTGGAGGCGTTAATTGGATGATCGCACTGTGTCTTCTTGGCGTATTTGTTATCGTTTATTTTGCCATGTGGAAGGGAATCAAAAGTTCGGGCAAGGTATCTATATTAAAACAATTTTCAAAATATAGAAATGCAAAAAATATAACGTCTAAAAGATTGAATGTTGATGAATGTTGAACTATAACATGTATTACATTGATTATTACGGGTATCCGAGTGAATACAGAATTTGGAACATTGACTACTGTTATCTTGTTCTAAATTTTGAATTCACTCCCCACCAGCAAATTCAAAAGAACATGACAGTATAGTGTTTTTGTTTTGTCTGTCTGCGAAAACTTGATTATTTAGCTTATAATTTTAGACCGTAAAAGGTAAACTTTTTAAAGTTTGTCAGGCAAATATATATATATATCAGGCTTGGGGTGAATTACATTGTAAAGTAATGCATTACATTACCATTACTTCAAGAATTTGGGCATTAAATTACCATTACTTAAATTTCTTAAAGTAACGCATTACCATTACTTTAGTAAAGTAATGAATTACCATTACCATTACTTTTGGAGGTTTTCAAAAATAAAAATACAAAACTTTGCAACTATTTTCATAAGCATGCATCCCACCCCTTCAAAAGTAAACATGATGAATGATTATTCAAATTTAATTTCAAGTACTTGTATTTATTACACTGTAAATAATTTACATATCTTTTTATTAATCATAGGAAGTTCAAACTTTACAATTGCCGATAAGATAAAAACATGTACAATATGCACTTTTTGTGTAACTATTGATGTCATAAAGCACTTTAACTTTTGGGGCAATTTACTCCCTCCCCAAAGCTAAAACTAAACTTAATAAGACATATAAAGATTATTTGAATCTAGTACCTTAAATTATGACAAAAATTAAATGCATTGACAGACTTGTAAAAAGGATAGGATAGTATGTACATTTTGCTCTTCTAAAAGTAGGATGCCTGTCTTCTATTCCTTTTGGTACAATTATTTTTTGTCATGGTCAGCTCAAGCTAGACCAGCTCATTTAATGTTTCATAAACACAGTCAGAAGAAAGTAGCCGGTATTTGGAGTACTTTTGAAACAATATATTGTTTTAATTGTTACATAACCTTAGAGGCATTGTGTGTTTTGATGACACTCCATTCAAGAGGTGGCAGTTCTCAGTTAACAGTGTACATTAATTAGTGTGTCTCAGATCGGAATTACTGTTTTAAAAAAACTCTTTAAAATATTCTTTGAAATTAAATCTGATCTAAGTATGTGTGTTAATTGTAATTTCAACAGAATAAAAAATGTATTTAAATAGATACAGAGATATCAAATAAGTTAACTTTTTTCATTAATTTCAATAATTTAAAAAAAAAATAATCTAAGCAATAATTTCCGTTTCATTTTCATTTTTTTTAAAAATAGGTATATACAAAATAATGCTTTGTAATGCTATGTAATGCCAGCATTACTCTGGATTTGAGAAAGTAATGCATTACATTACCATCACATGTAATGCATTTTTTTGGAATTACACATTACAAGCATTACTTCAAGTTCAAGTAATGCATCGCTTGTGTGTGTATATATATATATATATATATATATATATATATATATATATATATATATATATATATATATATGTCAATGTATTCAGAAATTTTCTCATACTCTTCTCGTGACTATGGAAGTCACATCTTTGTACACCAAAATAGCACGATGAGGGTATCGAGGCCTGTAGAGAAGTCTGGGATAGTAGATCCATACAAATTCCTTCTACCGAGTCCCTTGCCAAGCTCCTTGAACATGTTCTCAAGTACAACAACTTCATGTTTAAAGGAGAACATTACGTGCAGGTTAATGGCACTGCTATGGGTACGAAAATGGCCCCATCTTATGCCAATGTTTTCATGGGCAGACTTGAAAGCAACTTGTTACTTCAAGAAAACCGTTAGGCCCCATAGCTCGTCGCGTTTCATTGACGATATGAGATTAAGTGAGTGGAATGCCGAGAGAGCCTCGAGGCATTTATTTCGTTCGCCAACACCTTCCATCAGTCTATCAAATTTACTGTAGACGTATCTAATTCCAAAACACAAATTCCTAGATACTACATCTACCCTGATTGATAGCGAAATCAAGTTTAGTCTCCAAACGAAACCCACCGATTCTCATCTGTATCTTATGCCGACTAGCTATCACCCCACACACACATATAAGGATGTGTCTAAGGGTCTAGCCACCAGAATTCGGCGCATCTGTTCTTCTCCTGTCATATCAGGAACAAAGCAGTCTCCTTAAGTTCCATTTATGTAAGAGAGACTACAAAGCCCGCACCGTACAAACTGCTATTGATGCTATTACACTACAAGGAGAAAGACAATAGGAGCAGGGTCCCACTGGTAACTACATACCATCCCGTCCTTAAGAACCTCAACGGTATCCTTCAAAAGAATCTGCCAATTCTCGACTCAAACAAAAGAATGACAAAGGTCTTTAAGGAACCTCCATTGGCTGCATACAGACGCCCGGGGAACTAAAGGGCATGGTAATTAGAACCAGATTGGACAATCCAATACCTAACGGGGGCTTTAAAACTTGCTCTGAGAGAAAGATGCCTTCTCTGTTAGCACAGCTCCGACACAGACAGCTTTAACAGCCCCGTTACAGGCCGCAGCTACAGAATACTAGGGAATTTAATGTCCTGTCAAACAGACAACTGCATATATATCATCAGTTGCAAAGTTTGTTCCAAACAGTATGTTGAGGAACGGGAGATCGCAGGAGAATCAATAATCACTGTTCGACCAGTAAGACCAAAAAATTCAATGAACCTGTTGGGGAACATTTCGACCTTGAAGGTTACAAATGGGAGGACATGACAGTAGTGGTTATTGACCATAATCCATGATGGACAGACGCTCAGAAAAAAAAAACAAAGAAAAGTTCTGGATGCACAGACTGAAGTCATTCCGCCCTAATGGTATTTACAAACTAAATGACTTCACCAGGATGAACGTGAACTAGATCCAATTCCTGATTGTAACAAACAAGATCATTCTCTCCATATAGTGTAAACTTTACAATTAATTCTGGAACAACCCGAACACATATTTATTGCTTACATTTTTGTTTTTTAGTTCTTTTATTCGATAAATAACCCTAAAACATTTCCAAATTTATAATAGATCCAAATTCACATTTTTTAAAATTTCCCTTCAATATGATCTTTCTTTGGTTTCTTTTTATCACGTATAGTACGAGAATAAGACAGTGTACGGTTTACTACTTGTGCGTAATTAATTAGCGATAATTAATTCGTTCAATTACACATGTATGTAAATCGCACTTCACCGGAGTACACCCGACAGACCGGACGTATTTCATAGCGGTCCGGATTTCTTTCTTTACTATTGGTTATAAACTTTCAAATTTAATAAACATGTAACATTGTAAATATACAGTGTTTGGTTGTTTAGTAGTAGTGCTAGTTGTTTTTCTTTTTATGCCCCCCGTATCGAAGATTCGGGGTATATAGTTTTTGCTCTGTCCGTCCGTCCCTCTGTCTGTCTGTCTTTAACCCTGTCCATAACTTTTGATTGGTTGGAGCTATTACTTTCTTATTTCACATGTGTATTCCTGGTGACAAGACCTTTCTTTGGGTACCATCATATTTGACCTGTTGACCTTGACCTTAAAGTATGACCCACTTCTGCAAAATTTTATGAGACTTTAACCTTGGCCATAACTTTTGAACAGTTGGTGCTTGGGCTTTCAAACTTCACATGTGTATTCCTTGTAACAAGACCTTCCTTTAGATACCAACAACTTTGACCCCTTGATCTTGACCTAGGAGTTTGACCTACTTTTGAAAAAACTTTAACCTTGCTCTTAACTTTTGAACGGTTGGTGCTAGGGCTTTTATATTTAACATGCCTAGGAGTTTGACCTACTTTTTAAAAAAAAAAAAATTTAACCTTGGTTATAACTTTTGAACGGTTGGTGCTAGAGCTTTCATACTTCACATATGTAATCCTTGTGACAAGACCTTCCTTTGGATATCAACCACTTTGACCCTTTGACTTTGACCTTAGAGTTTGAACTTCTTTCGAATAACTTTAACCTTGGCCATAACTTTTGAATGGTAGGTGCTAGGGCTTTCATACTTCAAATATGTAATCCTTGTGACAAGACCCTCCTTTGGATACCAACCACTTTGACCCTTTGGCCTGGTCCTAGGTGTTTGACCTACTTTTGAAAAAAACTTTAACCTTGGCCATAACTTTTAAACGTTTGGTGCTAGGGCTTTCATACTTCACACGTTCATTCCTTGTGACAAGACTTTCCTTTGGATACCAACATATTTGGCATTGACCTTGATTTTGATAACACACTGTACTGTTCCTTTTATTTAGCATGGTTGTATGCTAACATTTTTGGTGAAATGAAATATAATCTTCTAAGGGACATGCAAAGTGAATGCGATAATGATTTTAAAGTTCTCTGTTGAGTTTTGTTATCAAAGGTGGCCAGTTCTAGCTAGGACTACAGTGGTCATGGCCTGAGAAACTCATGATACTCATATGACTGTCAAGGCCCATGGACCTCTTATACGTTTTCTAGACATTTTTTGATTACAATACAATAAACTGGTTTTTGTTTTATTTCAACATTGATCTATGTCGCAAAAGAAAAACTCTCCATGTAAATATGTGGTTTTCTTTGCCGATCAGTATAGATACACATGTTTTTAAATCATGAAAACAGTTTGTTTGGGTGACTGCTACGATGCCATATGTTGTGCTGCTTATTCTCTTGATCCGTGGGTGTATGTTGGAGGGCTCCATGAAGGGAATTATATACTACCTGACCCCCGTCTGGAGTGATATCGCTAAAAAGGAGGTACACATGATTATAGAGTTTGCTATGGGAAATTAAAGTTTTGATTTATATCTATAATTTCATAATTAATATCATTAATTGCATACAATTGCAACTTGTGAATTTTGATCAGTATTATGCTGTATGTCTACAGGATGGAAATGATGTGTTTTATTTTTGCTATAGGTCTGGATCGCAGCTGCTGCACAGATATTCTTTTCCCTTGGCCCAGGGTTTGGAGTTTTACTGGCTCTTTCCAGCTACAACCGACTCAACAATAACTGTTACAAGTATTATAATAAGCGAAATAGAATATCAGACTTTCAAACTCATTGATAACATAAACTTTTACAGAAAATGTTATAAGGAATGTTTTAAATCGATAAGACTAACTGTGGCGCTGCTGTTCTTGAGAAGTTCTTCCCAATACAATCATTTACCCCATCTCTGTTGATTTTTCGATGAAATCCTGGCTTACGATTGGTTGAAGTCTGTCACGTGAAGGGGGTGTATTACTTATACCTAGTCGCTTGAAAATCAATACATGGTCGATACGGAGTTATCGTTCTTTTGTAACGTTCGAACAACTCGAGTTCACACGATTTGCCGAGTGTCTGTTGACAATGTTACAGTTAACTAATGTAAGTAACGAAGATGGAACCTTTTTCTCCCTTTACTGAAAGTCTTCAAAACTGTCAGTACGTTATTACAGCACGAAACACTCGCAAAACAACATTACGTCACACAACGTGACGTCATAATAGGCATTGTATGAGTGATGAAACATATATATTAGTGAGAAAAACAATTTTACAAACCACAGACAATGCATAAATATTTTATCGGTGGGGTAAATTCGTTACATAGTTTTGTAGTGACAGGGTACGGGATGATACCTGGTTAGTAAATTTCATACCTGGCTCGGCTTCGCCTCGCCAGGTATGAAATTTACTAACCAGGTATCATCCCGTACCCTGTCACTAAAAAACTATGTAACTAATAGTACATGTACATTCCTATTTGACCTCCTAATGTGGCCTCACCCGAAACCAGGATTGGAACAAATTCGAATCCACTCCAGATGAAGATCCTTACATATCAGTTTGACTGTGATCCTGCTGTTCTTCCCTATACGTGTATATTTTCAAGTAGCACTTGGACCCCATCCTTTCCAAAGAAACCTTAATTTGATCAAACTTGAATATACGCAACACAAGCATACTGACATGATTAATTGTGGCCTTTCTTTACTTGAGATTTTTTTCGAACTATATTTTTTCTCGGTCAAGCTCCGGCCCCCTAATGTGACCCCCACCCTAGCCCAGGAGTTCATAATTTGAATGAATCGACGATTCTTTATAGAAAGCTGGCATATAAATATGATTTAAATCATGGTATAATGTAGCTCTTCTAGTATTGGTTAGTTTAAAAATTGGTTTTTTTTAATTCTTATATAAAATTTATCCCCTTTCTGTGGCCTATGCTAGTCCCCCTTCGCCCTCAATGACTTTAACAACCTTGAATCAACACAACGCTTTTATTCAAATTTGGTCTGTTATAGTTTAGTGTTTCTTGAGAATATTTGTATATGGCCACACCCAATTTTTTTTAATACCTGGTAATCACTCCCCTTTAAAAATGAGCTCGGCCCGTCATTTTATAAGAAAACTGAATTCCAACAATTTAACATAATTGAAAAATGATTTTATCAAAAATATATGTATAGTATGCGTGTAAACATATTCAATGATTTTCTAATTGCGAATTCAGGGATGCCTTAATAACAAGTTCCATCAACTGCTTCACCAGTTTTTTCGCCGGCTTTGCAGTGTTCACTGTTCTTGGTCATATGGCAACAGTTCAAGGCAAAGATGTCCGAGATGTTGCGAGAGATGGTAAGCATTTATCAATCTGAATATAAATGAATTCGGGCTAATTTCGGAGAAAGGCAAAACTTCACAGAAATAACTTCCTTATATTGTCTGTATGGTACGTTCATTAATCTTGGTCATTACGTCTGAAAGAAACAAACAAAAACAAATTCACTGTAACAAAGACGGTGCCAAAGACCTTGATAGGTATGGAATCAAATATTAGATATTGTTTACCTAGATATTAACCCATGATCACAAACTACTTTTGACTCATGGTCACATCTCAATGATCAATCTCAATGAAATGATGAATCATGTTTATGCACCCTTGATTACACTGAGTTCAAAGTGTTGCTTGATCACAGCTTGTTCATTAATTTTGTTCAAAGTAATATGTCCAGAGTGTCAAGAGTCAATGCCACTTGACCAATGATTTTACTTTTCTGTTTCTTCAGATGTTGGGCTTATTTTCATTGTCTATCCAGAAGCAATATCCACACTAAAGATTTCACCACTATGGGCAATGTTATTCTTTTTAATGTTCATAACGCTCGGCCTAGACACAACAGTGAGTTTTTTTTTAAATCATTGTTCATCCTATATCATTTACCAAAACAAGATTTTGTTCATTCAGTGTCTTGTTAATCATAATTTGTTACTGCTGCAATGTAAAATGTAAAAATTAAAATGTACTACAGTTTGGTGGATTAGAAGCCATATGTACGGGAATCTTGGATGAATGGCCAATTTTACGGAAACATAGAAAACTATTTGTTTTGTTTTTGATGATGTATTGTTTTATCGGAGCCCTGGCTACAACAACTTATGTAAGTACCGCATGATTGGATGGAATTGTTTTATAATTACTAGTATTCTCTTTTATATTTGACATTTTTTCTTTCTGCATGACACAAAGATTTTATTTTTTTTAACCACAATTTTCAAGTCGCCCGCGTGGCGCAGTGATTAGAGCTTTGCTCTGGGGAGTTGATCCTTACGTCGATCGAATCCACTGCGGGGCGTGGAGACCGGTACTTCGGATGAGACCGTATAAACAGAGGTCCTGTGTCGCAGTAAGTGCTGGCTGAAAAAGATCCATCATTGCCAAATGGCGTTGAGTCCGAGTATAGGTCAAAATTTCAACCCTCCTCCCGCATTGGTGGCGTTTCCAAATGAGTGAAAATTTCTCGAGAGGGACATTAAACAGCAAACAAACGACAAAAAAAAAAAAAAAACAATTTTCAAAATGTAAGTCTATTCTCTGATAGGTTATACACCCGAAAACAAAGTTCGTAAGTATTTTATCAATTACAAAGTTAGTTTGGAACATAATAAGGAGTCATCAATATAGAACAGAATCTCGCGCCAAATGTGTAATACACACCCTACACAGAGACAGTGTATTCGAAAATTTCAGGGTGTCATGTGATCTAATTTTTAACCAATCTATCGTCTACAATTTTGTATGAAGCGGGATGTCAGCTTATACTCCCGAAAGCAAAGTTTGGGGGTATATAGGACACCATGTCCGTCTGTCTTTGCAATTGGGCCCGGCCATAACCTCATTATTGGAAATTCATGCTTAACACGAAGATTGTGTATGATCAAGACCGGAGGGTGTGTCATGACTCCGATCCAAGGTCATTTGGTCAAGTTCAAGGTTACTGGCAGAAAAAGTGTAAAAATTTCAGGTTCGTGAGTTTCTAATGAATAAACATTGGACGTTGATACTTCACACAACTTGAGGAAGTGTCATGGTTTTTTAATCGAAGGTCATTTCAACAAGTTTAAGGCCAATTGCAGTTAATTGTTAAGATCCTGTCCTGGTAAATAAAATGGAGAAACATTAGCAGAAAAGTATATGTGTTCGGTCCATAACTTGCTGATAGATAAACTTCGGAGGTTCATACTTCACAAATATCACTTATGACCAGAGTGTGTGTCTTAACCTTGATCCTGGTCAATCTACAAGTTTTAAAATTTCACATTCAGAAAAATGGTAATTCCTGTCCTGGCCAGGGGCCCGTTTTAGAAAAAGAACTTATGATAAAGACCAACATTTTTAGCTGTCTTTAACATCTTGCGTTATAAAAATTAAAATTGCTATCTAAAAGTATTTTTTAAATTTTTTTTTTTTTTTTTTTTTTTTTTTTTTTACAAAATTATAATTACATGTATATTACATTTCTTTTTCAAATTAATGCTAAGAAAATAATTCGTAAAAACATTTGGTCAAAGTCGTAAGCTTCTTTGTAAAACTAGGCCCAGATCTTGCAATGAAAAAACTTTGGAAGCCCATTCTTGCTACAAATATCCCCTGTGATCTGAGTTTGTATCATGACTTTTACACATTCAAGGTCACTGGTAGGAAAGTGTAAAATTTGTGTCATTATATACATGTACAATGTTCTGAGAAAGGAACATTGGATACATGAATAAAAAATGCAGGAGTTTCATTTTTTGAACTGGATTAGATACAGTAATTTAATTATACTGCCCGTAAACAAAGTTTGGTGGTATATAAGAATCACCTTGTCCCTCTGTCTGCCTGTCTGTCTAAACTATTTCGGGCTATAAATTTGTAAAGAAAGCTCAAACTTGGTACAAAGAATGTTTATGACTTGAGGATGTGTCAAGACCTTATGTAAAGGTCTTCTAGGCAAGTTCGAGGTCACTGGCAAAATATAAAATTGTCCGTGCAATAACTTTGTAAGGAAGAGTTATTACTCATTGAAGCTCATACTTGGTACACAAATTGTATAACCTTAGGGTATGTCATGACCTTAATTAAAGGTCATTAAGACAAGTTCAAGGTCACTGGCAGAAGAAGTATAAATTCTTGTCTGGCCTATAACTTTGTAATGGAGAATCATAGGAAGCTCAAACTTGGTGAAAAAGTTCTTTATGGCCTCAGGGTGTGTCATGACCGTGACTAAACGTCATCATGACAAGTTCAATGTCACTGGCAGAAAAAAGTTTAATATTCTTGTCTGGGCTTTAACTTTAAAATAGAGGATCATTGGAAACTCTTACTTGATACAAAGACAGTTTATGAGCTGTGGATGTTTCATAAACTTGAACCAAGGTCATAGTATTAAGTTCAAGATCATTGACAGAAAAATCATAAAATAAGAAAAAACATTGGATGTCTATATTTCAAACAATCTTTTCTTAATCTAGGACTTTTCAACAAGTTCAATGTCACATTTCCAAAATTGCACACGTGTACTCTATACAGAATGCCCATGAGCCACATCGATTACCTGAGCACTTTGGCTACAGAAAAGCAGAAATCACTTCAAATAAGTTCAAATATGTGTGGTTCCAACCTACCTACATTGTACCACCCCACCCTCCCCCGAAGTGACATGATTTGAACAAACTTGAATCTACTTTAACTGAGGATGTTTCCGTATTTCTTTGACGAATCATAACTGTAGAAGATTTTTAATGAAATATTCCCTTGTAAAAGATTGATTTTCTATTGTGGCCCGCCCTATCCGCGAGGTGATGATTTGAACGAACATGAATTACACTGCCTAAGGATGTTTCTGTATTAATAATATGTGACTAATCATGGCTTTAATAATCTTGAGGAGGAGATTTTTAAAGCTATCTCTTATATACTAGTATTCCTGTGTATAACTTTTTTTCCCTGTTATAGCCCCACCCTACGCCGGGGTCAAGATTTGAGCGAAGATGAATCTTCACTACTTGAGGATGCTTCTGTATTAATATGACTAATCATGACTTTATTATTCTTGAGAAGATATTTTCTTGTAGACTACTATGTACAACTTTGATCCCCCCCCCCTTGTTGTGGCCCTGTTCTACTCCCGGGGTCATGATTTGAACAAACTTCAATCTAAACTACCCGAGGATGCTTCTGAAGATATATGACTAATCATGGCTTTGCTGTCCTTGAGAAGAAGCTTTTAATTTTCCCTATATGTTTATATGTATAACTGCTGTGGCCCGACCCTACCCCCGTGGTCATGATTTGAACAAATTTGAATTTACACTATGTAATGAAGCTTTCACGTAAGTTTCATCTCTTCTGGCTCAGTGGCTCTTGAGAGAAGATTTTTAATAAATGCCATTAAATTTGTATTTATTCTTAATTATCTACCCTTCGAGAGGGTGTGGCCCTTCATGTGAACAAACTTAACCCACTTTACCCAATGATACTTTGTGGCAGGTTTGGTTAAAATCCCTAAGGATGCTTTGTGGCAGGTTTTGTTAAAATCGGCCCATGCAGTGGTTCTGGCAACAAGGCCATAAACTGAGAACATAAGCCAAAAAAAAAAACTTTTGAAATAATGAAGAAAATAATACCAAAATTTCATTAAGTGTTTCTATTTGAATATTTTACAAACGTGCTACCTTTGTTTGTTGACCTAAAATCAAGATTTTCAAAATCTCAATTTTGACAAGAGGCTGTTCTCAGTTTGTTGTCTTGTTGTCTGGAGAAAAAGTCGAAAAAATTTACAGACAACACATGAAAGACGGACGCCGGACACTTGTCGATCAGAAAAACTCACTTATTGAGCCTTCGGTTCAGGTGAGCTAAAAATTTCAGGAGAGGAACATGGTTTATTATTTTGTGAGCTCGCTCACAGAACCTCTAGTTTACTTTTTGTAGTCTTAGGATGATGGCCGACACACTGGGGGGTGGGGCCTTTGTTCTCCATGTTTACAAGGGATCATTCTTGAACAATAGCAAAATGAATGCCCTGTATTTTGATTGGTTGGATACTTGACTTCCTCCAGTCAGAGACGTAAATACATAATATATTCTTATCGATGTTATGAGTCATAGGGTTACAAATCTTCAATTAATTTTTTTCGTAATCCTAATTACATGTACATACAATTATAAGAAGATCTTGCATAGACGATTTAGATTTTTTTAATGATTAACATTCGAGCTGTTCATTGAGCTTCTTTTTCAAAAACAAGCCATTTAAATTGAAAGTATTGTAAATTTTATATTGATAACATACTCGGAAATGGGATGCAAATTATTATGTGTTTAAAGGTGGTGAAGTTTTTTGAAAAAAAGGAAGACTGATCTTCAGCTATTTATGTGCAATCTTTTTTCACAAATATTTATTACGTTGTTTTTCAGGGCGGAATTCACGTAGTTCAGCTATTGGATTCTTACGTCGCTCCTATTGCCCTCATATTTGTGGTGTTCTTAGAATCCCTGTCCGTCTCCTGGATATATGGTAACTGGTGACAGTTTTAAACTAGATTTGACTTAAACATGCATTTCAATTCACAAAAACGGCAAACTCTTAAATAAACAGTAACAATATTTTAAAGTTATTTTCATTGTTTTTTCTCAAGGCGTTGAAAGGTTCAGTGATGACATAAAGTCCATGCTAGGATTTAGGCCTGGTATCTTCTGGAGACTCTGCTGGAAATTCCTCAGCCCTGCTATACTGCTAGTTTGTATCATTACTGACAATCAGCCCCGCTATACTGCTAGTTTGTATCATTACTGACAATCAGCCCCGCTAGTTTGTATCATTACTGACAATCAGTCCCGCTATACTGCTAGTTTGTATCATTACTGACAATCAGTCTCGCTATACTGCTAGTTTGTATCTTTACTAATAATCCGTCTCGCTGTTTTATCACTGACAATCAGTCCCGCTAGTTAAACTACTCGTTTGTATCATAAATATTCATGGTTACTATTGAACTACTAAAGAAATAAATGTATCTCCATTTGGTTAAAACAAACGAAGTAAAAAAGTGTGATTTCCTCTCAAAATGAAAAAAAATCAGGAATGCAGAGCTTTAATGAATAACTGTTGAATTAGGGAGATATTTTCAAAGAGTAAAACTATTAATGCAGTACTTACGTCATATCTATGAGAGAGTTGTGACTTTTGTCATTTTGTCCCAATTTAACATGCATGATTTTTCAAATGTCAAATTGCTTCCGGGGAGTAATTTTTAACCCTCATATAAAGATTATTAATACTTCACTTCAGTTGCATTCAATATTTTTTTACCCATATAATAGAAGAGTTTATTAATTTTCAAAAAATCTTTTGCAGTTCCTATTCATCATGTCTCTGATTGGTCACGAACCCCAGCCGTATGCGAAATACGCCTATCCAGCTTGGGCAATTTCCATCGGCTGGCTGATAGTGATGTCATCGTTGGCATTCATCCCTGGATATTTTGTTTATAGACTCATCATTACTCCTGGTTCCTTTCTAGAAGTAAGATATATTTATCATATTGGAATTGGCTTTTTGCATATAATTACAGAAACAATACTCACTTCTATTATATTCGTAACGAGTGAAATGATTACTGAAAGGATATCTTTAAGAATGTTAATCATGATATGTTTTAAGCAAGAAAGTGAACATAGCGGTATAGTTGTTTCGTAATAGATTTAAATAATTGCTCGGCGTTTAATATTTATATTGAGAAGCAACATTGGCAAACGTGTCCATATATTAGTTTTCAAACAGTTCTGTTCTAATAGATAAAGTGTTTATCATCATATGACAACAGAATCAATTTTGATTTAATCGGACTACTGTAATTATACTAGGAATAAAGAATCTGCATTTTATCTAATATTTCTTGTGGTTAAAATCGAAGTTAATAATTTTTTTCAGATAAAAATTACATTCAATTTAATTTATAGGAAGTTCGATTCAGTAATTTCAAAAAAGTACTTTTAGATGTAAATTTTAATTATGAAAGGCAATAAATCAAGATTTAACAGAATGAGACGTGCATAACAATTAAAAAAAAACGTAAGAGGAACAATCCTTGTATGATTATTTAGTTTTTGTGTACATAACCCCGGAGTTTTATAGTCGAGAGATCCAGATACTTCCAGTATGTGTGGAATATTAAGTACCGGTATCTACTGCTCACAAAAGCATGTAATCTCCTGAATAATTTCAAAGCATTCATGTGTAAATTGTGATGGCGCATGAACCTGTCTCACGTCAAATCACATACAATCGACACTTGAATCACATCAGTACACACAGCATTTCAATGAATTGTTGAAAGAATCACTTGTAAAATGTTTTCCCGCGATTTTTTTCCCTCATACTGTCTAATTTTACTTGCGTCAGGGGTGATCCAGGCCCCCGCGTCTGGCGAGTAACAGACATTCGACGAGAAGGCATGCGTGATCCGAACATCTGTTGTACTAACATAGGATCGGGTCTTAGTGGAATCGGGGTTTGATTTTCCCAAAACATGCAGCGATCTTTCAAGTACTCAAGTCCTTTCTTTGATTTTTCAAATATTTCTTTTCCTAATCCAGAACTTTCCGATGAGTCTGAAAAAGGACAAAAAATGCTTAATATGATATGTTGAATATATGTGTCAATATACAGTTATCAGCTTACAAAGGGGTGCTCAAAAGTTATTGAAAAATTAAAACCAAAGCAATCATACACTTGCAATTTGAGCATTGGCGGACATAACTAAAATCATCGCTGTCACTATTTTTTTTTTAGCATCAAATAATTATCAAACAATAGAAAATAAACAGTACGACAAAGCTACATTGTTGCAAAGCACCAGTTGTCGTGTTTACTCAGGTACTAAATTCTAAACATATTTTGAAATTTGTCATTAAGAAAATAATACTTTCATGCATATCTTTTTTATATAGGACATATTTTGTGCACATATTAGTATGTAACACTTTATCTTCACCAGTATTTAAGTTTCTTAACGTACTTACTGACAATATATTCCAAATACTGTTTGTCTGTGTAAAGTTCTCCGAGTAGTTTCTTGGTCTTTTTCTCGGTATTCCTTCTCGTAAAGTCTTTCTCATTTTCATCCAGTATTGAGCGTTGATATGTGGTCAGAGTACGAGTGCTATGCCAGCTTTGGCGCGAGCGTGGCTTGACAAAGGTGGGTTGTCGCGTCAGCAATTTGCTGGGCGACACCTTCTTGTGAGGATCTATTTCGGGGAGTGAGAGGTACTCCCGGCCAGGAAGGGAAACTGTGTCCCTATCCTTGGTGGCCCGGACTCGGAAGTCTTGCACTATGTCAAAAATTCGACCCGTTTTTCTGCGGAGATGGGGATGCTTTAAGGTGATGTCTAAGCGTCCATATATGGTAGGGAGGGAAAGGGGTTTTTTAGAATCTGATTTATCGTTAGACATTTCCTAACGATAACAGATAGAAAATCCCTTCATTGTTAAATGTTTTTTCTTCTATTTCTCTCCTACATTTTGGCATTGCTGACTTCAGGTTAATCTACAGTCAAAACAAAAAGGTTAACCGGGTTGATTTACAAGTAAATCCCGTTGCTATACAAAGATTTCCGTATAATAGTTCGTAAAATCCAGAGTTCTATATGCAAGGATATCCTCCTTCTAGATATGGTGTAAGAATTTGTATTCCTAATGAATGTTAGATCAACGTCCGTAGATTATGGACAAATTAATAAAGTTGGCAATTTGTTAAAAAACATACAAACAACCAATGCGACTTACCCTTACATGTTATTTAATCACATCCATCCCATTGATTTTGGTGTTTGTACCTTTGGCATGCAAAGCAACACGAAACACGAACAGATTGAGTTAACACTGGCTACAATTTTTTCTACATTACTGGGGCTTCTAAAAGGAAACGTAGGTGCCATTTGGATGGACCGATGGGAGATGTAAGGAATTATTTTAGCGATTACCCCACTTTGTGCCTCTTTACAGACGCAATATAAAAAAATACATAAGCGGGATTATCTTGGTATCGAAGATTAATCCCTAAACCACCTTAAATCTGTCGGGAATTCTTTTAATTAAATACACATTTAAATATACCCTAAACAAATGTCCTGCGAGAAGGAACAAAATTACGGAAGACCGAAAAATATCACCTGGAATCAATATAATTGTCTTTTGTAAATTCAATAGAAGTACTTTTTTGCAACATTCTGTAGAATTTCGGTTTCTGGTAGCCTTATACCTTTTGAAAGGTAATTCAAGGATACGTTGAACGCTCTCCATTCAATAGAACCAGAATGAAGACTTTTATATATTCATTTGGAAATTATTTTCTGTTCCTCCAATATTTAAAAAATCTTTGTAATAAACAATAAACGCTTTTTAATTTACTACCAAAAACGCTTTTTTTTGGTTCTTTTTTTAGGCAACATCTATAATGATACATAATTGAACCATTATAAAAAGTAGAACTCAGAGATAGAAAGAATGCTCAATCACCAGATCACTGAATAAAATAACATCGAATACAAAATCAGTAACGAAATATAACTTAGCATGGATTATCTTTTCTCATAGTTATGGATTTTCGCAAAGGAATAAACATTCACAAAACACTTCATATAAATGGAGTCGGATATTATATATATATATATATATATATATATATATATATATATATATATATATATATATATATATATATATATATATATATATATATGGGGGGGGGTGTGTGTTTTTCTTTTTATACTTGAACTATTAATATTGTCTTATATGTAATAAATATACAGAGTCTGAGAATTTTATTTCGAATCTACTTATTAGAGTCGTACATCAATGTAAGAAATCGTTAAATTGCTGATAGTTTCAAGTTTACCTTTTTTAAAAACAAATTTTGATCAGCTTTACTTGTTTCTTTCAGAGACTGAGAACGGTATTTATACCGACAGAAGTCCCGGACCATGGATATACAGAACCAGTACCCGTCTAAATTATTAACAAATATGCAGGATTTACTTCATATTAAACAGTCACCCATTTTATCTGTGGTTTAGAAGTGAGTCAAAGGCTACCCTGAAAGAAAATTCGAAATTTAAAAAAGACATCTGATAAATGTATGTCCTTAAAAGCGCCATTTAATATTTTTTTAATGTATTATATTTAATTAATTTCAACGTTATCAGGGAATACAATATAGGTTCACTTTTCATTTAAGCTTACCTGAACTGAAAGATCAAGTGAGCTATGAGTTTCCTGGTCACATTTTGCCTGTCGTCCGTCCGTCTGTAAACATTTTCGACTTCTCAATTTCAACGAGACATGTCACAAAGCAACTTTGGATAAAGGGGATTCAAGTTTCTTCATTTGAAGAGCCACGCCCTCTTTTGAGGGGGGATCTAAGTATAGGTGAAAATATGGTGATCATTTAAAAACTTTCTTTTCAAGAACCAATGGTCAGAAAAAGTTCACTTTTCTGACATAGCGTAGATTCAAGTTTGTTCAATTCATGGCCAATACCCATAGGTTGGGGACATAATATGGGATCAAAGTTTTACATCGAAATATAAAGGAACATTCTGTAAAAAAAAAAAATTGATGAAGAACAGCAGGGCCATTATTTGTCATATTCATGTGGAAGCATTCACAAATATTGTGGAAGCGATGTTGTTCAAAGTATGATCCCCGGGGGCACATGTAAGATATGGCAACAGTAGCAGGTCAAAGTATAACATGTTAATATAAAGAGGAAAATCTGACTAAGAACAACAATAGGGCCATGTCATTAATTATATTATTAATTTTAATGCTTTCTCAGGTACTGTAGATTTCAGTTTGCCACAGTAGGGATCAATTTTTAAATGGTATTGTACACACAAGTACTCTGAAGTTGACATTAAAAAGATGCTTGAGTTTCTGATTAACAATATCTATGTGTTTTTGGAGACCAGGTCTTCCAACAATCTATTGGAATTCCCATGGGTACCAATTGCGCCCCGTTATTAGCAGACCTTTTTTGTATTCATATGAAGCAAAATTTGTCCAAAATCTTATACATGAAAAGAAGAAAACACTTGCTGTGGCCTTCAACTCGAAATTTCGGTATATCGACGACGTATTGTCAATTAACAATGGTTATTTCCATTCTTATGTCGATACGATATATCCCGGTGAGCTTGAGATGAAAAATACCACAGAGTCTGACACATCTGTTTCATATTTGGATATTTTACTTGAAAAAGACGTTAATGGTAATCTAACAACCAAGCTTTATGATAAACGTGATGACTTTAACTTTTCAATCGTCAACTTCCCTTACTTATGCAGCAATATACCTTCATCACCTGCATACGGGGTTTATTCTTCTCAGTTAATTCGATACACAAGAGCATGCTCTACGTATGTACAATTTCTAAAACGAGGTAAATTATTGACAAACAAGTTGATGAAACAAGAATATCAGCAGTATCGTTTAAAATCATCATTTCGTAAGTTCTATGATCGATGCAATGACCTTGTCAGCAAATACAATTTATCTTTGAGTCAAATGCTGACTGACGTTTTTCAAACTAATTGTAAGGCCATTATTTACACACTGAATTGTCGACAGATTTTCCCGTTATTTCCCGATCATGACAAAGAGCACACGGCGGGTGTGACCGGTCGGCAGGGGATGCTCACTCCTCCATGGCACCTGATCCCATCTCTGATGTTTTGGAGGTCCGTGTTTGCTCTGCTCCTATTTTGTATTGTTTAATGGACTTTTGAGCTTGAATACTGTTATCTCCATATACCGTTATCTCCATATATTAACATGTACATTACAATGTATATATGGAAAAATCTTTTAAAAATCTGATGAAGTGCTATAGGGTCATGGTTAGTCTTAATGTGCAAGCACTCAAAGGTTGTGTCGATTCAAGTTTCTTTAGATCATGACTCCCACTCTCCAGGGGTAGGTTGGGGCTAACAATGGAATCATAATTTTTCAGGAAAATAAGTAGGAACAAGTACCAAGGCCCTACTATACCATATCTATATATAAAAATTCATAGGTTCTGTTGATTTTTTTAAAATTCAAAGTATGGACACTGGGGATAGTATGGAACTAAAATCAGAGACCAGATTTTACATTATGCTAATGTACGGGAAGAAATCTTCTATAGAACAGCAAGACCATGTTAGTTATATTGATATTAAAGCATTCCAGTGTTGTGTGTGGATTTAAGCTGGGTAAGTCATAGCCTCTTAAGGCAAGATAGGGGCCACAATATGGAGTTTTTTCTTTGAAACAAAGAGGGAGGATCTTTCAAAGAACAGAAGGGTCAAAGTGACTCAGGTGAGCGTTGTGGTTTATAGGCCTTTTTAAGAGATTGAAATTAATTGTATATATACATGTTTACACCCTGTTAAATACTTCTAGTACTTCACAATTTTATTTTGATTCCACCTTTAAAATTTGTCCTGTATTTATTTATTCGAATTAACTACGCATTTATTGTTTCAAAGATTCTCTTAGCAGTTCTTGAAAGTTTCTATTACTTAAATTATCGAGTCCTTACATATTTGATAAATACGACAGAGCAATATGTGCGCCTGCAATGGAATGGATGTGTACATGTGTTCTTTATTTGAAACTAGTTATTAAAACGGACAACATTATGAAATAAATTCCAATTTAGACAGAAATATACAAGAGGAGAGAGTAAATGTATTATTTTACATGTAGTTCAAGTTGGTGATCCACAAAGTGGAAACCATGGGAATATATAAGCCATATTTGTCCTAAATACGATGAGTTATGAAAGAAAGTTTTTTAAATTCCAGCCCACGTGCACCCTCGCAACATTTTTTTGGTTTGGGGGTTAGACTGGAATCACAAGGCCCGTACTCCTGTCTCTCTTTTGGAGAAATAATATAGTTCAGAACTAAAAATTAGTCATTTTCTTAACGATGTCATTGTACAAAAACTGTGTGACAGGATTGAGAAAGTGAAACTCTTGGCTGGTTATAACTTTTTAACCCCCCCCCCCCCAATAATAATAAGAGGCTCGTTTCCCTGTGGTCAGAGATGTATCTTGCTATACACGGGGTCATTTTGCGCAATGTCGTATGGTACAGTAATATTCATCACTGTTCTTGTAACAATTTTGATGTAAAGTGACCTAAAAACTTGTACTTATTTACTTAAGACAAAGGTTGCTTGCTACTCCAGGGTATGCCCTTGACAATGTCGCAGATAGTTGTGACCAAGGAGTGTGTAATAATATTGCACAGGTCATTTGGACGAAATCAATATCAATGGGTTTAAAATGTGATTTTTCTTGTATAAGATTATTTTATAATGTAATTCTTGTCCTCAGCAAACGTTATTTTGTCATAGTCTAGGTCAAATAGATCAGAAGTATCAAATTCTGAAGGACTTAAAATTTTAAAATTCTTAAGCACAAAATTGTGTATTGGAGTAAAATAATGAAAGTCGTCAAAATTGGAAGAAAGGTCGCTTGTGACCAAAGGGTCTGCCAGGATTCTTAGTCATTTAGACAAGGTCAAGGTCACAAACTAATTCTGAACGAATCATCTGCATTTCAAGAAGTTATTTTGCAGTATAAGGTTTTTAGCAAGTAGGCTGTTTTTTTTCCTTCAAAATTTTTTTTTTAATTCCCCCATAAAAGTTTGTCCTATTAGAAAGTACTACAGTGTAGTTGTCTATCAATCAATTGTGGCCGAAAATACGTCATTTTAAGATTCAAATGAAAGAAAGAAATCGCATGCAAATATAAAAAGCACGAATACCTTGTTTAATACAATGGAATTAAGAAAATTGAAAATACCGGGATACATACGTGCACTCGTTGATAAAATTCTAAGTGCTTGATATCCAAGCACATACCAAAACGTGTTGAACAGTAAGACTAAGACTCGTACAAGTCCAAGCAGAAAGGTTTAACATGGATCATGAAATACGGAAAACAGCGTATTTCTGACATAATCTATTCATCAATATAAATATGTCATACTGCAGTTATTTTAATGAATGGGAATATTTGATATTTCATCAGGACGATGGAAACCAGTGTTTCCAGTTTCAATGATAATTGGACTACTGATTAATGTTGATATATTTTATTGTTATAGTGTGATAGACCTATATTCATTTATATTGTTGGTCATATATAAGATGTATTTACCTTTGTATATATCTTAGTCTTTTGTATTAAACGCATTATATGTGTCATGTGTGATATATAAACTTATATACATAAGTGTAGTTGATTCTTAATTACGAATCTTGCAATATTATTTTGGTCAGCAATGTCGGTTGTAGAATAAATGTTTAAGATGAGAAAAAAAAGTGTTGCGTTTGTGCCATCGGAATTAAAAAAAAGTTTCATCACAGAATCCGGTAGTTTTGTTTGTGAGGATAATAATTTGGGTCCAGGTCTGTGCGGGCCCCATAACATGTTTGTCCGATCGACTGACATTATTTATCGGACTCCCCCTTTCCCCTAGCCCCACTGGCTCACACTTCACCAATAGGCAGTGACTTTGGTGCAAGATTTTGTGAAATATCAAAGACAAAATGTCTTTAGTAGAATTCTTGTATAGAGTATATTATTTAGTTTGCCCCACACTGGTCCTACTACACAGGCAGTGTGCCCTTTTGTATAAGACTATGCAGTGGCGTTGTTCCAGTTTTCTATCTGATAGCTCAAAAAAAGGTGTCTGTTTAAAATCTTTGTCATAGCACATTTTCTCTAACTTGGGTCTAGAACAGCTAACACTTTCACTTTACAAAGGGCAGTATATGGAGTATATAGTTTCTGCGCTTGGAGAAGTTTGGCTCATAATTCACTCATACAGTAATTTGGATCAAGACTTCCAAATTAAAAGATTTTGTGTAAACTCTATAATGATTGACTTCACTGTGGTATTCATTAACTTAATGAAATTCAACTTTTGAAAAAAAAAAATCTTTTAAATTCTTCTAAAGGTGGAAAAACACATGTAGTAGTAAATTCTTCATAAACCAAGGGGAAAAAATAATAGTGCCCCGCCACAGCATGATACGTACGCCCGTCAAATATTGTTCAATTGTTTTAACAGGTTAGAGTGCAAGAAAATCATGTCACCTTGATACAAAGATTTCAATGATTTTTCCATTCCTTATAATGTTTGATGTACATACATCTCCTGTGGTGTAGGTATTAATTATAACAAATAATACATCATATATTTCTCAACTAGTTGTGTTAGAGCTTAACAAATGCCCATCTACAGCTTTGTTTTCTGTGTATTTTATGATTGATTAACAATGCTACAGCCTAATAAAACATCAAAACAAATTATGTTTATTCTTTAGACTATGAAATTGTCATCTTAGTGAGACATGACTCTCTGCAATTTGTTGTAAAGATATAAAAATTAAAATAAAAAAATATATACAATATCAAATTAGTTTTAATTATATTATACACTATCAAATTAATTTTAATTACTTTACACCAAAGAAGATGGGCGTGTTTGGCGTGTGATCTGCAGGAATAAGACGTACGAAACATTTATAGTCTAAATGTCTACGATTTGGTCGGTTGACCACAGCTGGACATACTTTACAAAGTTACGCACATGGGAAAATTTTACATTAAGTTTGAAATACTTTGCCAAATTTAATATATCAATCCGCTTATCTTAATAATTACTACATCTAAAACTTAGTAACGCTTCACATAAATAATAAACACATATAGGGTATAGTTAAACAGTTAAATGCAATTACAACTACATACATGTATATAATAAAGTATCAGTAGGTGGAAGAATTGCTTTCGCTTTCGGTGAAACAGAACCAGAAATTATCTATTTGAAAATGAATCATTTCATAAAATTAAACTGACAAAAGAATTGACTGTTTGTACTAAAAAAAAATATTAACGCTACATGCGGGGATCGAACCAAAAAAAAAAAAATCCTTTTCATTGCACTGGACGGGTAACGCTTACTACTGAGTTATCACCGCTACACATATTTTAAGTTTTTTAAAGCGACAATGAAGCACCGCATTTACACATTGGAATTTTTTTTGGAAAAAGTTCATTTCTTATCGTCTCTGGGTCTTCTCTCCATTTTTTACAAATGTTTGTTGTTTCTTTGAATTAAAATGCACACAAATAAAGTTTCAAAATCATGGAGAGATGACCCAGAGATAGCAAATTTTTAGAAAAACGCGTTTAAAAATGTAACATTTTGTACCAAATGACTCATCTAGCCAACTTTCAAGTTCTTTTTGAGCAAATCAAAATACAATATTGGGAACATATTTCCCTTTCCTATTTCACAGGAACCCGATACATCAAAAGAATGCTAAAATTTCATGTGACAGATCAATGAAATTTTCACTTTTCAAGTGCGCCCAGATTCCTGCCGAATGCCAATCAAAAGCGACCTCGTTCTTTATCTTGAAAGTTAGGCTAGCCAATTAGAACTATTTAATCCAACACAAAAGGCTGATTTCTTTGCCCAATTCCCAAGAGATATAGATAACACCTGCTTGATCAGAGATGCTTTACCAGTTATCTCCTCACACTAAACACATTATTTTCTCTCTAATTTGACATGCAATTTTCTGTTACCAAAATTCTCCTTGACCAGTGCTTGATAATTACACCCATGGAAAAGGTGGAATTTCTCTTATAACATTACATTCGCTATACATTGCTGTAAAGTATATAATGAAAAAAATAAGTATTTTCTTGGTTTAACATTAAAATAAGGATACTGTAATACTCTTACATCTTTTGGGATTGAGTAATTTAAAAGTTAAAAGAAATGTTTTTTTAAATTTCACTTAAATCAAAGGTCACAGTTTAGGTAGGGTGAGACACACCTTCTACCTAAGTCAGGACATTGTCAAGTAAATTTTACCTATAGTTGGCAAATATTTACAGCATAACAAATGAACATGGGCTACGATAGCTCTTTAACAGATTTGAACAAATTTACACAAAGAATAAAAGTTTAGTAAACATTTCCATAGTAAGGAAGAGAAACATAAAATGAAGCCATGAAAATAATCAAGATATAAGAGATAAGCATAGTGCAGCACAAACCTATACTATAGCATTGATAGAAAAAAAAACTGAAAATAAATAGTAATTCACATTTATGAATAGCACAAGTAAGGATAATCACAAAGCACAGTTCAGCACAAACATGTAATAGCACTGATAGAGAAAAATTGAATAAACAAAGAAAGCAGCTTAAATAGTAATTAAACATATGACTAGCACACATATGGACGATAAAAAAAAAGGAACAAGAGGTCCAGGGGCCACATCGCTCACCTTAGCACTGTGGCTAGGAAAAAAGCAAAAATCAGTTTAGTATTGAAAAGCTTAAATGCATAAGTGGTCCCGACCTATCCCTAAAAGGGAGGGGGTATAATTTGAAAAAAAAAAAATGGAATCTACACTAACTAAGGATGCTTACATTTTTTTTTTACTATGACCTTTTTTCCCAGCAAATTTGAACTTTCAATGTGGGCCCACCCTACCCCCAGGGGGACATGATTTGAACAAACTTGAATCTACACTATCTGAGAATGCTTCCATATAAATATGACCAATCATGGCTTTGCTGTTTTTAAGAAGAAGAGTTTTAAAGATTTTTCCTACATATTCCTATGTAAAAAATTAATTGTCCATTGTGGCCCCACCCTACCCCGGGGTCATGATTTGAATAGATTCGATACACAAGAGCATGATCTACGTATGAACAATTTCTAGAACGAGGCAAGCTATTGACAAACAAGTTGATGAAACAAGGATATCAACAGTCTCGTTTGAAGCCATCATTTTATGGCCGATACAATGACCTTGTCAACGAATACAACCTATCAAGTCAAATGCTGACTGACGTTTTTCATACTAGTTGTTAGGCTATTGTTTACCCACTGAATTGTCTACCGATTTTTTCCTTTTTTCCCGATCAAGACAAGGAGCACAACGTCGGGTGGGTGTGATCGCTCGGCAGGGAATGTTCACTCCTCCATGATCCCACCTCTGATGTTTTGGAGGTCCGTTTGCTCTGCTCCCGATTTGTATTGTTTAAATGGACTTTGAGGTTGAATACTGTTCGTTATCTCCATATTTCATTATTTTCCCAAAATAAAATCTAGGATGAAACATCTATAACATAATAACTCGAAGATTGCATATATAAAGTTGGCATTAGAATACTTTGGTTGAGATTTAAGTACTTCGTTTAAATCAAAGATATCAGCATATTAATAAGATTTCTACAAACGACGGGAAAACATACGTTTACAGATCATATATTAAGATCAATACATTCATTTCATGGCCGTAGGAACCGGGGGGGGGGGGGGGGGGGGGGCACGGGGGCCGTGCTCCCAATGATTTTGCCGATATATACAATACTACAGTAAATTAGATACTAAATAGATACTACATGTATATGCTTGTTGTGCTCCCTCAATGGAAACGTCTGATGGACCTTTTTTTTTGCTTGTCAGGATATTTTTGGTAGTGCCTCCTCAACTGAAAACGTATGCCTGTGCCCCCCCCCCCCCCCCAAAAAAAAAAACCCGAAATTGCTTCCTACGGACCTGCATTTGTTAAGTTGATAAACATAATAACAATAAATCCTTATATTTATTTCAAAAGTGTATATTATTTCAATAGTCGTTATATAGTGGTGTTGGATTTTTCTGTGAAATTCCTTTAAAACACTATTCCTCATACAGTTTTGGTCTTGATTTTAATATTTGACACACAAGTAGACTACACTAAGATGCGTAACTTAGTGCATCGGTTTTTGATTTCGAAAAACGGTGTTGCCATTGTTACTAAAAATAGAAATATCTATGAAATTCCTTTAAAACGCTACTCCTCCTACAGTTCTAGTCTGACTTTAATATAACTTAGCACACAAGTAGACTATACCAAGATATATAATTTGATGAATCCTGCTACAGTTTTGGTCGGATTTCAATCTAATTTGGCATAAAATTAGACTACACTACGATACATAATAGTGTATATCGGTTTTTGATTTCAGTGAATGGTGTTGCCATGGTTACTTAAAATAGAAATTTCTGTGAAATACTTTCAAAATGCTACTCCTCCTACAGCTTTGTATACATAATCCTATTTATTGCTGCATGTTGCAAAGTTTCAAATCCAAGTGCTACATGTACTTTTCCTTTTTTACTTACAAACCAGTAGAGCCACAGTCTCATCAGAGACTTTTGGTTATGCTGAAGTTGACAACGGAATATATAAGTCTCTTGGTGTGTATGACCGGTCAACAGATGCTTAAATGCACCTGATCTTTTCCAAGAGCCCCGTTTTACGCCCTGTTCACAGAATTGCATTGTTTATAGATTTTTTTTATAGATCAATCACTGTTTGTTATCTTCACCTTTTTCATTAAACTGTTCCAGAGTAGAAGCTGAAAATGTTTACAACCACAGATGATAATAAACAAAGACAGCAATAAATCACTTGAGTGGTGATTAAAAATTGCAAGCATCTTTAAATAGTTCAGATTCATGTTTGTTCAATGACGGTTGAAGGGGACATGATATTCTTCTGAATATTTTGAAAGATTTTTCCAACTCATTATTCATATAAAAAAAAAAATTGATCGCATATTGTTGCCACAAGTGGTCATGATACAATTTAACTTCAATCAACGCATCATGGGGATTCTGAAGAAAAGCAGGACCAAGATGTGGCGTTGTGTATTATATTCTAGTTTATGTATACAGTAAAACTCTGATATACCGAACTCCTCAAAACCAGTAGATCTACTCCATATTTTGTTGTACCCATAAATAGACATTGTAATAATATAAAGCATATTTGCCAATTATTGTTTTTTTAATGACAACCCAGTATAATAAATAAAGTATTAAAAACAAGCTTATTCGGAGAATCTGTGTCCCCCCCTTAAGGAAAAAAGAAGAGCATGCGCGGATCTACGAGGGCGCGGAGGGGGGGTGTCGAAGGGGAGTACTTTAAAAAGGGCGGGCAGGGCCATAGGGAGTTATGGTATAAAATTTCATTGTAAAAACTCAAAAGCTTCTTGAGATATAGCCTGGAAATGAAAGTTTTACACACACAGAATGTATAAATTTACGATGTTGACCTTTTGACCTCAAAATAAATAGGGGTATTCCTTAGGCCATAGGGAGTTGTATAAATTTTCACTGCAAAAGCTCAAAGGCTTCTCAAGATATTGTGTAAAAACGAAAGTGTTACGGACAGACAGAAATACAGACAGATGGATAGTGAAAGCGGGTGACAACAAAACCTACCTTTGAGAACTGAAGTTTTCCATTTCATAAAATTTTAATACATGTAATAAAAACTTGAGAAAAAATATCACTTTAATATTTCAATGTATATGCACATGTACATTCTATAAGTATTAGGATTTAAACAAAACATCATTGCTGTCTTTAAGTGTATGGTAGTACTGGTACTGAAAGTCTTTCATGAATAGATGGCAGCCTAGTTATTCTATGGGTAGAACATGTACATTTCTAAGAAAGAAATATTCTAATATTTTCTTGTATAAAGTCATATGTATGGCTGCCAGCCTGGAAACAGTCTACAGAGATTCTTGGGATCTCTAGCCTCCTGGATAAGGTTGTTTACTTGTCCTGCTACACTAAACTGAACTCCTTCCTCATATCCCTGTAGCTTCTGTTGAAGGTGCAGTAACATTCGCTCTGCAAGCTTATTCACACTCTCTTGGGAATCTGCAAATGGAAAAAAATGTTCTCCAATAAAGCATCAGTTACTGTATTGTTTACATTTTTACTGATCAATCTGTAAATTCCATTAGCTCAACTTCCAACAAGAGGCCCATGGGTCACAATGCTCACCTGATTAACTATTGCTCTTTTTGCTCTTCATCAGCAATTTTTTCCCCCAATATGTTAATATGTAAACTTTGAACACCCATTGTAGCCCCACCCTACCCATGGGTGTCATGATTTGAGCAAACTTGATTCTAGACTAGCTGGATGCTTCCATATAAATATGACCAATAATGGCTTTGCTGTTCTGGAGAAGATTTTTCCTATGTAATTAACACAGTGATTGCCACTTGTGGCCCCAACCCCACCCATGGGGGTCATAATTTGAACAAATCTATACTATCTGAGGATGCTTCAATATAAATGTGACTAATCATAACTTTGCTATTTTTGAGAAGAAGTACTTTAAAGATTTTTCCTATGTTTTCCTATGTAAACTTCTGATATGATAGCCCATAGAAGCCCCACCCTACCCAAGGGGTCATGAATTGGACAAACTTGAATCTACACTACCTGAGGAAGCTTTCATATAAATATGACTAATCATGATTTTGCTGTTCTTGAAAAGAAGAATTTTAAAGATTTTTCCTATGTAAAACTTTGATTGTCCACAGTGGCCCCACCCTACCCCTGGGGTCATGATTTCAACAAACTTGAAACTTCACTACCCCAGAAATCTTTCACATCAGTTTTAACTTTTCTGGTTCAGTGGTTCTTGAGAGGAAGATTTTTAAAATTTCACTATTTCTTAATTATCTCCACTTGGAAGAGGGTGTGGCCCTTCATTTCAACAAAATTGAATCTCCTTTACCCAAGGATACTCTGTGCCATATGTGGTTGAAATAAGCCTAGTGGTTCTGGAGAAGAAGATGAAAATGTGAAAAGTTTACAACAATGACAACAATGCTGCTGCCACCGATGACAGACAACGGACAAATTTCAATCAGAAAAGCTTACCCGAGGCTTTGGCTCAGTTGAGCTAATAATATATAAATTTAAACCAACTCTGAGAAAAACCAGATGAGTCAGGGTGACACAAATGTCCCTATTACATAAGTTTTCAATTTGTGAAAGTCCAAGTGTGAAAATAACAACATGGTTTGTTTTGTTGAGGACCATTAACAGTTAACAAACTAACTGAAATCAATTACTGGTACAATACTAAAGGGTTTCCTCATCTGTGCAACTTGTCATTGCTTTCTGATTACTTCACTGAAAAGGGGCACTACTCTTAATTTAATCACAGCATTGCCTAATTTGTAAGATGTTAATATATCGGTTTCTTTTAAAAGTGATCGTAACACTAGCATTATTTTTTCTGTAATTTTGGATGACATAATGTCATTTAATTCATCATCTTTTCATCCAATTTTTGCTAAACATTGTCCAAGGAAATATTGAAGGTAGGCACATGATGTTTGTTATCCATTGTCAGTAAATCAATCTTTGTTTGAAGGAGTTATACTCCAAGTAAGCAGCCTAAAAATATTTCTCTAGTAAATTTATAATTTTAAAAAAGTTAACTTTGCACACATTACAGTCAAATGCAAATCAGAACGCAAACAAGAAAAAAAAAAATTTGCAACCCCAAATTTTAGAAAATTTAACAGATATTTATCTACCTAATTCATACATTAAAACCATAGGTCTCTGATGAAACTGTAGCTCTACTGGTTTGTTCTTATAACAAAGGAAGAGAAAGTAGCATTTGGACTCTTGAAACTATGAAACAGAAATAAATAGAATAATGATCCATGGTTTAGGCTCTTTTTGTGGCAAGATTTATAGCAATCAGATTAAACTGTAGGAGGAGTAGCCTTTTAAAGAATTTTACAGAAATTTCTATTTTTAATAATCATGGCAACACCGTTCATTGAAATCAAAATCCAATATTTAGAATTACGTATCTTAATGTAGTCTAGCCTACTTGTGTGCTAAGTTATACTGAAATCAAACCAAAATGTAGTAGCAGTAGTGTTTTGAAAGAATTTCACATAAATTTCTATTTTTAGTAGCCATGGAAACACCCTTCATCGAAATCAATAACCGATACATAGAATTATGTACCTTTGTGTTGTCTATTTGTGTGCCACATTATATTGAAATCAGACAAAAACTGTAGGAGGAGTAGCATTTTGAAAAATTGTTTACAGACGGACGAATGAAAGACACTTTACTATCGCATAAGTTCTTCTGGTTTCTGACCAGTAGAGCTTACAAACATACTGAAAATGAACCAACCTTGCTGCACACTTGCATTGACCACATCAATATCCATCAAACTGCCTTTGGTGGCATTCAGTTCTGATGTCTCAGTGTCCAATCTGTCCCTGCGACTCTGGAGGGCAGCTGCCTTCTGAGGGGAAATTGTCCAGTTGTTGAGAGGGTCATATAGTAGTACTTCCAAAATCGTCAACAAAGCCTCCTGGTTATTGTGCATTACATCCATGGTTTTTTCACAGCATCTTTAGATTTGAAGTTTAAAGTTAGTGATATTATACAAGCAGGGTTCTCCATCATTTCAAAGTTAACTGTGGTGCAAGACTTACGCAAAGTGCTAATATTTGCGTTCATTTCGCGACCGAATTCGCGAATGAACCACAAAATAGATTGAAAAACACACAACCCCAATGAATCAATAGTTTAATATACAAATGATATTATTTGGCATTATTATTATTATTAAAATTAATAATAAATGTAATTGAACGATATCGATTAAACATAGTGTAAAAACAAAAATAAAGGATATGCATACTGTAAAAAAGACCCCCCCCCCTCCCAAACACACAGGTACTTATAAATAAACAAATATTACCTTATAAACCTGACAATAAAAGTACCAGTAACAACAAGCTGAAAGCATTAAACCCTCTCTAAAAAAATTTACAAAAGGTAAATTATATAGTTTTCATTAGAGGACGGAGGAAATTCTGGTAAGTCACACAATCACGCTAACATCTATATAAATTTGCAATTCTCGGTCTGAAGACTGAAATATCTTAAAATTTTTGAAAACAAGAGGCCCATGGGCCTTGAATCACTCTTCTGATAAACTGTACAACCTATCACTTCTATTTGAAGCCTCGAAGTATCCAGTATATTTACATAAACCCTTGAAATTCCAATTCACACTCTGAGAACCCAAGATGATTCTAAGCCAATTAGTACCTGAGAGTTGGTCATGGTGACCTACTTATCACTTGTCATTCTCTGAGGACCCATCAACTAAGTTTGATGATTCTAAGCCAATTAATACCTAAAATATTTTTTAAAATTATAATCATAAAATTTTATAAGTAGGTCAAAGTGACCTACTTTTCAGTTGCTGTACTCCAAGGACCAAAGATACATCGACTGACAAAGTTTGATGATTCTAGCCAATAAGTACCCAAAATATTAAATACAGCCATAAAATTTCAAAAGTAGGTCACCGTGACCTACTTTTCAGTTGTTGTACTCCGAGGACCCAAGACGCATCAACTGACAAAGTTTAATGATTCTAAGCCAATTAGTACCCGAAATATTTGATTAAAGCCATAAATTTTCAAAAGTAGGTCAAAGTGACCTACTTTTCAGTTGTTGTACTCCGAGGACCCATGACGCATAAACTGACAAAGTTTTATGATTCTAAGCCAATTAGTACCCGAAATATTTTATTAAAGCCATAAATTTTCAGAAAGTAGGTCACAGTGACCTACTTTTTAGTCGACCTACTCCGAAGACCCATGAAGCATCAACTGACAAAGTTTGATGATTCTAAGCCAATTAGTACCCGAAATATTTAATTAAAGCCATAAATTTTCAAAAGTAGGTCACGGTGACCTACTTTTTAGTCGATCTACTCTGAAGACCCAAGATGCATCAACTGACAAAGTTTGATGATTCTAAGCCAATTAGTACCCGAAATATTTAATTAACGCCATAAATTTTCAAAAGTAGGTCACTGTGACCTACTTTTTAGTCGACCTACTCCGAAGACCCAAGATGCATCAACTGACAAAGTTTGATGATTCTAAGCCAATTAGTACCTGAAATATTTAATTATAGTCATATAAATTGAAAAGTAGGTCACGGTGACCTACTTTTCAGTTGACCTTTTTTGAGGACCCAAGATGCATCAACTTACAAAGTTTTATGATCATAGGACTTAAAATGTCCAAATTATGCCTCTAAAACGCTTTGAAATCGAATGCCTGCAAAGTTCAAAAAGTAGGTCACTGTGACCTACTTTTTAATAAATATGTTTTATGGCCCCAAGAGGCATCATCTTACAAGATTTAATGATTCTAAGCCTCCCCGTATTCGAATTAATGACCTTAATTTTTAAAAAAGATTAGCCATAAAATTCAAAAAGTAGGTCAAAGTGACCTACTTTTTAAGTGACGTACTTTGACGACCCAAGATGCATCAACTGACAAAGTTTGATGATCATAGGCCTTAAATTGTTCAAAAGATGCCTCTAAATCATTATGAAAAAGAATGGCCGCAAAATTTGAAAAGTAGGTCACCGTGACCTACTTTTGAGTCAACATGATATGAGGTCCTTAGATGCACCAACTGACAAGATTTGATGATCCTAGTCCTTATACTAAGCAAAATATCAACATTTTAATAAAATGTAATTTTTGGTCAACTTTGAAGTGACCTTGAGACCAGGCCCTTTGCCCCAGGGTAAATCCCCGTGCAAATTTTAATCTACAACATATCCTCATCCTTTTGTGTAAGTTTGGTGATAATCTGCCCAGTGGTTCTTGAGAAGAAGATTTTTAGCAACCAGTACTTTGGTTTCTATTTTCCTAATTATCTCCCCTTGTTAAAGGGTCACAACCCCAGTTTTAGTATAAAAGGGAGCCCTTGGGCCAAGGATACCCTGTGACAAATTTGACAATAATTGGCCAAGGGGTTCTTGAGTTATGGCCCATATTCTAAAAAAGTTTACGCACACCGCACAAATGGCCATAGCATTAGCTCTTGGAGCCTTTGGCTCAGAAGAGCTAAAAAATACTTCAGCAGTTTAGAGTCATAAAAAAAATATTTTGGTGGATCTATCGTTATTTTTTCAACATTGCAAAAATACATATATTACGATATACATGCGATGTTTGACACGCAGACATGGTTATCTGTAGAACTATTAAAACATGAATTAATTAATATTAAAAATTTCATTTGCAATTAACGTGAAATGTGTGGAAAAATGGCTTGTCCCTTTTCATTCAAGTTTCCAATGAGGTCTAGAAGATAATTGCTTGTGCAACCCAAACAATGGCCCTCATTGGAGTAAATTAACGGTTTAGCATTAGAAACTGAAAAACAGTACATATTTTGGAGGTTCATTTGGTTTATAAATTTATATATTGATCTTACTGATGACGACGATCTTACTGTGGCGCTAATATTTTAACTGTGGTGGAAGTATGGCGCTGATTTTTTAACTGTGGCAGGACCGCCTCGTTAAACGGCCCATGGAGAACCCTGATACAAGTATGTCAATGTTCAAATAAAAAAAAAGCTCAAGGGTCTTCAAAATACCTATCATATTAGAGAACACAAGGGAAAAACCAAAAACAATAGGAATAAGACCACATGGCTCACCTGCAACTACATGTATTACAGCATATATTTGCCACCAGCAGCATGGCCTTCATTTTAACAATTTAGAATTCTCTTTACTAGTGGATACTATGTACCAATTGTGAAATTTGCCAACTAATGCTTGAAAGATTGAAAATATGTAAATTCTACAGACTGACAGAGGGAAGAACGGATGGCGGACAATGGGTGATCAAAAAAGCTTACTTGAACTTACAACTTGAGTTGTCTAAAAGTAGTTCATGATGCTCCTTGTTCTTTTTAGAATACTTCACAAAAGATTTTGGGTTAAGCTCTATTGACCTTTACATCTAAATCCCACCAGATATTGTTTAGCTTTGAAGACAAGTTTTTAAAATAGTTTACATTTTGAAACACTCATTATTAATAAACTGTAACCAGAAAACTATACAATAACCAAAGTACAGTCAATCCTCGTTATCTCGAACTTGAAGGGACCGGAAAAGAACTGTGAGATATTCCAGGATTCGAGATATCAAGGGTAAGATACATAAAGAATAAGTGTTTGGGACTTACAGATCAGTTTGACATATCCATGGTATTCGAGATATCAGTGTTCGAGATACCGAAGTTTAACTGTATGTCCATAAAAAGGATTGTATAGTATTTTTACAAAATGATCATCATATCAGAAATTTATTATGGTTCACCGAGTGCACCAACACTGACAGTTAAGGTGATGCAAACTGATTGGGTATATGAATGTAGGATACTGATAGACCAGGGACTCCATCCGTGTGGACCAAATGAAGATGCTGTGAGAAAGCTCACAAAATAATATCCCCAAACTGCATTTTTTCCAAGAAAAACTAGAACTGTCCAAAAGGGACAAATACCCCCCGCTGGGTTTTTCAGAGAAGGTACCAAATCACTAATGTTTTCTAGATGTGAGAGGTGTTCACAATTTGCTTAAACATTTAGAGTGAAAATTTAATTGCTCATTATATTTTTTTTTAATGAATGAAACTAAGGTGCAGCCTAATAAAACATCAATACAGTGGTTCCCGTTTTATCGAATAGTCAAGTTGTCAGCCTAGTTTTATCCGAATAGCCGAAAATTAGAATAGCCGATTGCTTCATACCGAGTCAAAAGATAGATGTATAGAGCTACATGTATTGATAATACATCGTAGCTAGCAAATTTAAAGCTTGCACTTTCGTTTTCTTTTGACATGTTTACTTAATGACTTTACTAAAAATAATTTATTTCACTTACTTATGAATTTAATATGAAATTTTTTTTCAAATAAATTGACGTATAGAATATATTCTTTGATAGTTATTGCCATCTTTCTTCAGCACATGTTTCATTCCTTCTTCGACGGTCGCCATTTTGGAAACGGAAGTAGACTAAATGCTTGACTAATAACTGTAAACTATTTTTCCCTGGATAGATTGTAAATTAAAAATAAACAAAAATATTAAATATATGTAATTGTTTCGTTTTTATTTGTTTCTTTAATACGGTTACGTATTTTATACTGTGTGTGAGTTTACCAGTCTCGTTCTTGTATGCTGAAGAGAGATTTTGAGAGCCATGTGGAGAAAGATGGTATGAATTTTGAGACGTATTTTTATAGAACGAGCCATTTGTGATTTTCACCATAAATTTTGGACTGAAAAGTGAATAAATATTAAGCCAATTGACCAAGTTAAACGATTGAATAGGTTTATTTCATTATTCAAGCAAATTGTCATACACAAGCTAATCAGTTCAATAATTAAAATTTCACGCCGAAAAAATTGCAAATAATTGTCATAATTAATAAGTGCATTATTGAACCCAAGCTGATCACCACAACTGTAATCAAAACATATCTATTTACTATGCCCACTGTTGACACAGGTA